AGTGAGGGTCTCGGACCCCGCCGAGAAAAGAGATTGCGAACCGAGTGGGGGACAGGCTCCTGCCGGGCAAGAAACTACTGTCGAGTGAGGGTCGGCGGAGCGACGGATGACCTAATGAATGGGATTCGAGCTCCGCCGGTCATACCACGTTAATCCGTTTCCCGACGATGCTAGTGTTCCGGCGCAAACTTGCTTACCGAACGTCTCCCTGTCGTCCGCCAGCTCGGTACTGCGAGCCGAGATGTCTTTCGGATGATACGGATAAGAGATGAGCCGACTGATGAGTCAGACGGTCCCTTTTGGCAAGGCTAGGACACCAACCCTATGTCGGTTATGAGCCAGAATGCAGGAAGCAAAATTGAAGTCCTCGTCATCATCCTGCTGGAGATGAATATGCCGGCCAATGTCTCGCCTCTTATCGTGTATATTCTGTATTTATATTATCTTCTGTCGTTTCCCGGGATCGTTTGCGACGAAGGGAAAGAGGTCAAGAGACCGAATGGCCGTTCCCACGGCCGCCCCTGGCGGCACAGACCCCCTGGTTTCTTCGGTCCCGACTGCTGGCTCGGTTCCCGACGGGCCCGAGATGGGCACCGAGGGCTCGGCTCTCGGGCCGGGCATCCGTGCGGGAACTGGGACTGCGCGGGTGCCAGGAGCGCGGCTCCAGAGCCCGCCTCGGCCATGCCGGGAGACCCTGCGGGTTCGGCCTGGGGGTTCCTCTGCCGTCTGCGGGCTCTCGGGGCCTTCCAGGGAGGAGGGCCAGGCCAACCGAAAGGCTGTCCCCGTCCACCCCTGGCAGTTCGCAGGGGGCGAGGTCCAGGAAGGGCCCCGGGTCGCTTGGGCTCTCGATGTTCTCGAGGAGCAGCACGGCTTCTCTTGTAGGGCTGTGCTGGGCATGGTGTCCCCGGAGACTGTCTCACGCTGCGAGCAGGTTGCCCAGCCGTGCGGGAGAGTGCAGAAGTCTTGTTTGCTACGCCTCCGCGCTAACTTGCCCCTTTGGCGCATTATTCTCTTGTGTGAGAAATGCGTCCGTCAAGACGCGCCGCGGAACGTCCCAAGGGACGCGCCAGGCGACGTGCCAGGCGACGTACCACGGGGACGCACCGCTGGACGTGCCAAGGAGACGCGCTACGGAACGTGCCAATGGACGCGCCACTTCATGCTAGACATCCGCCTGAGCGAACTGGACCTTTGAAAACAAGTGGTTCGCTCGAGACATCCTCAAAACATCTTCATGTTAGACGTCCGTTCCAGGCCCCCAGGATGGCCCCAGGAGGCCCATGTTACATACCCCCATAGGTGGCCTGGACACGTTGAAGCACCTGGTTCCGCCATGTTCAATACCCCCTGGGCGGCCTGGACACGTGAAACCACATGGTTCCAATTCGGGACAAGCATGTCAAGAACATATAGCTGTTCTGTATTAGGATCTGTGCTCGGGTAATGCTTTTCGGCCCCCCGTGCGTTTCCTGATAATTCGGCGCTTGGGCCCGACGCCATGCTAGATACCCTCTTGGGCGGCCTGGACACGTAAAGACACGTGCTTCTAGTTCGGGACAATCATGTTAGATACTCCCGTGGGTGCCCTGGACAGGTAAAAACATGTGGATACAGCTCTGGGCAAACATGTTAGATACATCCCTTGGTGGCCTGGACGTGTTACAATACGTGGTCCTTGTTCGGGGCAACCATGTTAGATACCCCCTTGGGTGGCCTGGAAACGTGAAAACACGTGGTTCCAGCTCGGGACCACCATGTTAGATACCCCCTTGGGAGGCTTGAACACGCAAAAACACGTGGCTCCAGCGCAGGATCACCATTTCAGATGATCCCCTGGGTGGCCAGGACATTTGAAAACACATGGCTCCAGCGCAGGACCACCATGTTAGATACCCTCCTGGGTGGCCTGGACAAGAAATAACACGTGGTTCTAGCGCGGGACCACCATGTTAGATACCCCTCCTGGGTGGCCTGAACACGTGGAAACACGTGGTTCTAGCTCGGGGCCACCATGTTAGATACCCCCTGTGTGGCCTGGACACATAAAACACGTGATTCCAGCTCGGGGCCACCATGTTAGATACCCCTCCTGGGTGGCCTGCACACGTAAAAACTCATGGTTCCAGCCCACCCAGGGCGGATATCCAACATGCGGTCGTCTGTGTCGCCAGCAAGGGACAACCATGTTAGATACCCCCTGGCCGACCTGGGCACCTGAAAACAAGCATTTCGCCTGAGACATCCTCTGAATTCTGACCCCCCCACGAGGCCACCGCTCGAGACATCCCTAAACTCTGCAAAAACAACTTTTTCGCCTGTACAGGAGGTTGCGGTGTTTGACGTTGCTGTTGCCCGGTGCTTAGGTACTCCGCCTGCGTCGGTTGCAACAAGCCGTGCTGCGTGGAATATATCGACCGACGTGTTGGTCGGCGTTGGATTTGCGAGAACAGGAGTGGCCGAGATGGTTGCCGACGTTTGGAGGACGGCCGCGGAGGAGGAGAGGCAGAGGCGTCGTCAGGAGGTTTAGCGGATTCGAGCTGGGGCCGAAGCGGAGCATGCAATCGGGGCCGGGATTAGGACGAAGAATTTGCGATGATCGAGTAAGAGGAGCAGAGCCAGGCATAATTGCTACGACGTCTTCGGTTTAGCAAGAGGGGCGAGAGCGTGCCGCTATGCGGGCCAAGGAGAAGGCTGAAGAGGCCGATGAGCAAGGTGCAGCAGCGTCCCGGCGCGAGCAAGATTCTGAATGAGATCAGATATATTTAGATGCGATTTGTGGAGAACGAGATTGGGAGACTCGAGAGATTGGCCGAAAATGCAGAGGCCGAGGAGGCGGCCGCCAAGATGCCGCTCGAGCTGTTCGAGCGCGTCGCTTCGAAGAGTCTTGGATTTCGGGGGATCTCAGTCTGCCTGATGCGACAGCCGGGGAGTCGGAGATCGGCACTGGCCCCAGGGGCAGTGTGGGCCCGAAGCACGGCGGTCGGGAGTCAGGGCTGGGCCTTGGCCCCGGCGCGCTTCACGATCCAGATCGGGGCGGTCTGGAGTCGGGCCGCGGCCACGATGCCGGCAATCATCCAGATGGTATTAGTCGGGAGAGTTTGGGCTCGGTAGTGAAGGTGTTCTGGTCGACTTGGGAATGCAGATCTCTTGGTTCAGACATGAAAACGGATACGTCGAGGTCTTGGGGGGGGCTCGGCCTTGGCCCCAGCAGGGGGGGGCGGTCCGCCGGGTCCGCGGGGGTGGGGGCCAGGCCGTGGCCTCGGTGGGTCGTCGGCGCACCTCCCTCCCCTCGGCGGTCACGGCCCCTCGGGCACTGGCGCTGCCCACGAAAGAGGTGCTGGGCCATGGCGACAGCGCCCCGTCGCCGCCGCCGATGCCTCCCGCAAAGGAGCGCCCGATCAACACGTCAAAAGAGACATCTTGTCGTATTCGACGACGTCCGGGACGCAGGTTCGAGTGAATGTAGAAAGGCCGCGCGGCGCCGCTTGGGGCGCCGAGGTGCGTGGGCGGCCTGCAGCGGCGGCGGCAGGCGCCCAAGAGGCGGCTCCAGGAAGTGACTGGCCGCCATCTGCGTGTTGCGGCCGCCGCCAGACCCCTTGGCGGCACGGCGCCGAATGGGGCCAAGTCCTGCCCCGCGGCTCCCCGCCGCCACGGGCTTGGCGGCGCTGCGGGCCAGGCCGTGCGAGCTGCGCACCTGGCTGCCGCTGTGGGCCGAGGTTTCGCGGATGGCCGAGCCTCGCGCGCTGTCTCTGGACGTCGGCCTCCCGTCGATGTTTCGCGCTGGTCACCGCGCTGGGCCAGGGTGCCTTCCGCGCGCGGCGGTTGCTGGACCTGCGCGGGGAGGTGCCGAAACCCTTCGCGGACGTGCGCGGTGCGTTCGAGCGGCGGCCCGTCGCCAGGCTGGCGCGGCGGGCCGCGGCAGCCTCTTGGAGAAGCTGGTGGGGGTGTCGGGCGCACGCTTCTGCATCGAGGAGCAAAAGATCAGGAGGAAAAGAAACACACAGACACAATTAATCCTCGATTTCCCAGAACACATGGGAAAATATGGGAAGTGGGCGGGAAGACAGAAACCCAGAAAGTATGGGAAAATATGGGGAATAGTTTTATTTGTGTGTATTTATTTGTGTGTCCTGGGGCCCCTTCAAAAGAGGGCATAGGCATAATTTGTCGGGGCCTCGTGCGGATCTCGCGGATCGCCGCGCGGGCCCCCTTGGCGGTACCTCCGGCGCCGCCCCTGGCGCGCCAGGCAGGGAGGGGGGCTCCAGCGCCGATCCGAAAATTCCACGCGGACCTCCGAGAATGCATGCCCATTGGTAGTCGTCAGTTGATGGCGTTCCTCCGTGAACTCAGAAGAGCAAGATGCTACGTTCCAATATATGATCCAGGAGATCCCCCAATTCGCGCTGGACATTCTGGAACTATTGGAACGTATCTTGAGCCAATCGCATCAAGACATCGGTCTCGTGCAAGGGCTCTTCAAATGGTTTGGAAGGCGCGCGCAAACATGCATCCGGCGGTCTGGCGCCACCAATTGTGCGCAGACAGACCAGGGACATCGCCATTTGGTGGCTCGCGACGGGCCTGCAGTCGCGATTTGGTGGCCCGCGGGGCGCTGCATGCGCAACCCATGGCGCGCAGCCTCATGTACAACTAACGGGATGCAGGCAGAGAGACCAGGGACAGGGCGTGGTAATGGCCCGCCAAGGGTCCAACTATGGCGCGCACCTCATGGAGCAAATTCTGGAATGTGGGTTCCTGATAATGAGCGATGGACGGAAGGGGGGAAGGAAGTATTGACGGTTGGAGTGGAGGAGGGAGCCACAGGTGGAAGGAGGGTCCAGGAGCGACGGGGGCAGGAATGAAACGATCATGCGGAGCTCGCCACGCCAGTTTCTTCTGCCTGCTTGTACCTCCGCTGCCCTCCCGTCCCCTCCTTCCTCTTCATGCCTCCATCACCCTGTCCCTTCGCTCCAATCCTGTGGGTGCTGGAGCCAAGCCAGGCTGGCGGGCAACCCCGTCATATTCGACAGGACAGCCCCCCGCTGACGCATGGGCAAGGGGGGGCTTGAGTCAGAGGGGGTACGGGCGCACGGGTATGTGAAGGAGAAGGGACATGGAAAATGAGAGGGGAGGACATGAGGAGGAGGAGGAGGAGGAGGAGGAGGAGGAGGAGGAGGAGGAGGAGGCTGTGGTGGAACATGGGCACAAGTAGAAAGAGAGTCGGATATGAGAGGGTGGTGGAGAAAGGGTGAGTGCCGCAAAAGGAGGAGGTCAAGAGAGGATGTGGAGGGGGAGTGAGGAGGGACGAGAGAAGAGCCGCGGAGGTCGGGAGGCAAGGAACAAGAGAGGAGGAGGATGTGGAGGAGGGTGAATGAGCATGAGCCTGGGGAGATGATGCTGATGATGATGAGTATGATGATGATGCTGATGCTGATGCTGATGCTGATGCTGATGCTGATGATGGTGGTGGTGGTGATGGTGATGATGATGACGATGATGATGATGATGCTGATGATGCTGATGATGAATATGATGAGTATGAGTGTGAGTATGAGTATGCGTATAAGTATGAGTATGATGATGATGATGATGATGATGATGATGATGATGATGATGATGATGATGATGATGGTGATGATGATGATAATGATGATGATGATGATGATGCTGATGCTGATGCTGATGCTGATGCTGATGCTGATGATGATGATGATGATGACGATGATGCTGATGCTGATGCGGATGCTGATGCTGATGCTGATGCTGATGCTGATTATGACGATGATAAGGCGGAGTAGCAGGAGGATGAGGAGGAGGAGAGGATGTTTGTGCGATGTTAATGAAGGAGGAAGGAGGAGGGGTAGGAGGAGGGGGACAGTGAGGAGACAATTCAGCCTGAAGCGACGGGGGATGACGAGGTAAGCGAGAAGGATGAGGATATTGAGGATAAAGAGGAGAGGGAGGATGAGGAGGGGGAGAAGGAGGGGGACGGGGAGGAGGACGGGGGAATAAGCGGAATAAGATGGTGGCGGAGGCCATCATTGCCGCATGCAGGATTCGGATGGAAGGGTTTCAGCATTTGCCGCGCGTGGGGAATGGCAAACCGTGTGCCTCATTATATTGGGTATGTGTAGGAATGTGACGAGGAGGCAGGTGGATGGTCTCACCTTTCAATCAGCAGCATCTCAACTCCATCCTACCTCCATGCCCCTCTCTCCCCCATGCATTCCCAATATTCCTTTGCTTGTTTCTCCAACCCACCCCATCCCTCCCCCCCCCTCCGACCCTTTGCTTCCTCCCCCTACCCCTCCCGCTCCTCCACCCCTTCCTCCCTTCCTCCCCCACCCCACCCAGCCAACACTTCCGCCCTCCCCTTCCCCGCCCCTCCCTCCCCTTCCCCACCCCACCCGCCCCTCCGCCTCCCTCTCCTCCTTCGTCTACCCTCTCCCCCTCTCCCCTGTCTTACTATGCCTCCCTCCTCTCCTTTGCCTCACGTGCCGCCCTCACATCCCCATCCCTTTCCTCCCTTCTCCCCTCGCTTCCCAGCCATCCCTCTCCTCCACAATCAGCAATGTGAATGCTACTCTCCCTTCTCCCCTGAAGTTGTCCAGAAGATCTCCCGCCCCCTCCGCGTGTTGTATTTTCGCATACAGGGCTTCAAAGTTGGATGATGCCGACGTTAAAATCCACTTGTTCCCGGTGTTTCAAAAGGGGGTTCCCGCTGCAACGTGGGCCTCATTTTCGGATCGGTGCGCTGCTCCCGTCAGTTAGAACGGCGCTCTCGCCCCCGCGCGGGCCACTTTTCTGGAGCCGACTCTTGCGTCATTGCGCTCCCCCCCACCATTTCCTCCCCTTTGCCTTCCCCTGGTCCTCCGGTCCCTCCCGCTTCTTCCACTCCAGTTCCTGCCTCTGTTGCTCGTCTCGCCCCAGCGCGCTGAATCCGAGTCTTTCTTCCTCGTTGTCGCCCCCCTCCTTTCCCCTCCTTCGCCTTCCCGTGGTCCTCCTTTCCCTCCCGATCTTTCCGCTTCAATTCCTGCTGCTGCAGCTGTTCGTCCTCATCCTTTTCCTCCCGCTCATCCTCCTGCTCACTCGCCACCTCATCCTGTGCACGCAGCTCCCCTTTTCCCGACTGTGCGTAACACGAAGTGGTCGTTCTGTGTGAGGCGCGGGCGCCCCTAGCTTCTCTCCCAACCTCCCAGGCATCCGACGTCGTGCTTCCTCCCGGCGTGGCCCCCCAGAGGTCTGGACCCTTCTCCGGGGACCGGCTTTTGATCACAGGTCCTCATCCGACGGCGCCGGGGCCCGGCGAAGGGCCCCTCTCTCTGCCACAACAAAAAAGCACCCAGCCACCCTCCACTGTATTGTTCCTGGGCGTCAGGGGAAGGTGACCGTGCATACATCGCCACTGAGGGCCAGCGACTTGATACACCGCCCCCCCCCCCTGAAGTCGGGTCGGGCGAAAGGGGGGGATTGGGAAAGGGGGGGTTACGAAATCTGCTGCATGCAGCTGGTTTCGGCCCCACCGAGGGGTTCATTCCTCGATACATAGCCGCCTCCGGCGCCGGGAGGCGCCGGGAAAATCAGCTACGTGAGCTGATTCTCAAACCCCCCCTTTGCTATCCCCCCCTTTCGCCCGACCCGAAAGGTGCATGCGAAATTCGTCGGTGGGTATCCGTGCACTTTTCTTTTCGTCGCGCATTCTCTCTGCCGAGGCCCACCAACGCCACAAACAACACCTTCCACCGTATGCATAGTGACGGCGCGCGGAGGTCCGGGTCGCCGCCCTCCCCCCCCTCTGCTCGTGGCTTCTTCGTCGTCCCCCTCGTCCTCCTCCTCCTCCTCGTCCTCCTCGTCCTACTCCTCCCCCTCCTCCTCCTCCTCCTCCTCCTCCTCCTCCTCCTCCTCCTCCTCCTCCTCCTCCTCCTCCTCCTCCTCCTCCTCCTCCTCCTCCTCCTCCTCCTCTGGCCTAGTCAAGCTGGCGCGCGGGCCAGCCGTAGCCACCGCCTCGCGGGTTAGGCCCCTGGTCGTTTTGTGCAGATGCCGCCCCGCGCAGATCCTACACCGAATATTATACTGGAGGGGGGGTGCTTCTGATGTTTTGGGGGTCTAATTCGAGTTGTCTTGGAGGTTCTGGGGGGTCTGGGCAGAAGGCGGCCCTTTCATGGCTGGTCGGGGGAGGGGGTCTAAAATTGCGCGTCTTGGAGGTTTGTGGCCCCGCATCCTTTATTACGAAACTCGAGTGCCTATGCGACCGCGTGTCCGCAGGACCGTGCCCTGGAATCCAGACTGCGAAGGCGTGGATGTTGACGCGTTCTCCGCAAGGGATTTGTCCTGTCGTCTGTGTGGTCCTTCATGTGAGCCTCAGAGGGTCCTCGAACTCCCTTCTGGGATGTTAGGATTTCGTCCCCATCTCGTCGGATGTGGTCGACATCTGGACGAATTCTGCACGAAAGGGCGAGGAGGGGTGGTCGCTCGTGATCGCGCCGCGGCCTTATGTGAGCCTCAGAGGGTCCTCGAACTCCCTTCTGGGATGTCAGGATTTCGCCCCCATGTCGTCGGATGTGGTCGACATCTGGACGAATTCGTCACGACAGGGCGAGGAGGGGTGGTCGCTCGTGATCGCGCCGCGGAGGTCCGCAGATGCCCCCACGAGGGCTCACCCCGTGCCTTGCGCCCCTCCCTCCCGCCACGCAAGGCTCCGGGCGCTGGGCATCCGCACGGACCGAGAGGACCCGCCCCGTTGCCCGGCGCCCCCCGCCGCACCCCGGGCCTGCGCTCCAATCGGCCCCCTCTCGGCCAGGGCTGGGGCGCGGCGGCGGCTCCGCGTGGTGCAGTAGGGGGGGGAGGAGCAGCAGGAGGAGGATCGTGAGGAGCAGGGAGGGGGGAAGGGAGGGAAGGAGGAGGAGGGGGGAGAAGGAGGTGGAGGAAGAGGATGGGAGGGGGGGAGTGAAGCAGGAGGAGGAGGAGGAGGGGGAGGGGGAGGATGAGACTCGGACAGCCTGAGCGAGCACAATTCTGGGTCGGAAGGCGCACGGGCTACCATAAGAGGAGCGGCGGCACATCGGTTTCGAGACGTGGCATACGCATCATCAGCCCATCGGACGCATGGAGAAGGTTTGAAGGGTGAAGAGGAGGCAGGGGGAGGGGGGGAGGGAGGGGTAAGGAGGAGGCAGAGGAGTATACGAAGGGATGAACAGGGGGAACAAGAGGAAGGAGGAAGAGGCGGACCAGCGTAAAGCCAGGATGCGTCAACGCTACGACAATGTACCCTCCCGTCCGTGGCCCCTTCCTCATGAGTAGTTCCAGCTGGTCCTTTCCGTTGCTGGAAGCGTCCCTCTTGAATGACGAGCGCCCGGTGGGCCTCCCACTCTGGCGAGACCAGTGCTGAAAAGCATCGACCTTCACGTTTTTAGCCGAAATAGTCGGATGGTGAAGATCACGGGATGCGTCCAGCGATAAGCCAGCATCCGAAATAGTTATGGGCGACGAGGAGACACCGGAGAAGGGTTTGGATGAAGGGGTGGCAGAGGATGAGGGAGAGGATGAGGAATATCAGACGAGCCTTTGGAAGGGGCATCGGATAAGAACGGTGATGATGATGATGGTGATATACGGGAAGGAGGAGACGAACGAGGACCTGGCACACGAGTGTTATAGTTGTGTCAAGAATGAGGAGGAGGGCCACCAACATCAGCATGATATGGACGATTGGTGAAAGGGATGATGATGATGATGATGATGATGATGATGATGATGATGATGATGATGATGATGATGATGATGATGATGATGATGATGATGATGATGATGATGAGACGAGGTCGGGGATGAGGAGGAGGTGGAAGAGAAGAAGGAACAGGTAGGATGATGATTCCAGGAGGAGGAGGAAACGGATGACAGGGAGCAGGGGAGCCAGGAGGAGGAGGAGCAGGAGGAGCAGGAGGACGCTGCTGCTTGGTGACTGGGCGCTGTCGCCAGGCCTTGTGCAGCGGCTGCTCCTGGGGAGCCCGTGCCGTGCTCGGGGGTTGGCGCAGGCGCCAATTTGCAGAGTTCTTGGCATCGCTCGGACGTGTGCACCTTTCCATCGGCGAGGACCATCGAGGAGGATCCTTGATCATCTGGCGAAGAAACCACGCACGAAGCCGAAAAAAACACTGGGAATGGACGTCCGAGCGATGGCCAGAGTTTCGGGAGCGCGGTCCGCCGGAGGAGGAGACGGAGAAGGCGGAAGCCGCTGCCAGGCTCGGGAGAGCGGCCCCCTCTGCCAGGCCCTCGGCACAGGGGGCGGGGGGGGGGGGCACGCAGCGGGCGGCAGCCTGAGCGCGCCAACCTCCACAGGGGAGGTGCGCCGCGACCACAGGCGTCCCCTGGACGGCCGTCGTTGAGCCAGTCCAGAGGCCTTCGCACCTACTCGTCGTCGACTCCTTGCTTGCATGCCTTCCATTCGGTCTTGTATGTGCCCTTCGCAGGTAGATCGTTGTTGAGAACGAGGAGACGGTTTGGATACGCCGCTCATACTCACAGGACAGTCCCTTAAACACGGGATGCGGTCGTCTTGTGGCGGGGAGCCACAGCAGGCCTGCATTAAAACAGCACTGCAGGTGCTGGAAGTTCAAGACAAGCCGATGAACGCGAGTCCTCGGCGCCAGCGGCAGGGCCACCAGCAGCGTAAGATGCGATACCGGTTGCAGCGGCAGTAGCGCCCGCCGCCCCGGCGGCAGAGGCACCGGCAGCGCCCGTCGTTTTTGAAGTGTTAGTCGATCCGAGCGACTCGAAAGGACCTGTCCCTTCTCTCTCGGAAATGGACAACAAGTTCGACATGTGCGCCTTACAGGGGAAGGACACTAAGCATCACGGACGGCATACTGGGAAAATTTGACGCGGACTCAGGACGATGGGCGTTTACTTCACGCAGTAAGTCCATGTTCGCGAAGCCAGATTACATTGAAGCGCCACTACCTTCCAAATTGCAGCTGTCTGGCGGTTCATTCTATGCAAATGATATGCGTATGTATCACCACGAATGCAAACCCAAGGCGGTGTTTCAATCCGATCTGGGATGGAGGAAACGAGACATGCGACATCGAGCAGTTGTTTACCACCATCTGCGCAGATAATCCCATTCCGGCCAGATCTGTAACGCCATGCTTTCGTGAAACAAATCGTGAACGCTCATGGCCACATTCATGATCCTATTCATCACATTTTCACTTGGGGAGGAGGGACATGTCGAGTATGTGCGCTCGTGGTGCGCGTGTGTGGTGGTGGCGTGCGTGTGTTGTGTGTTTCCATTGGCGCAGGACTGACGTATCGCCGTCGCATCTCCACTATCAGAGTAACAGCTCCTTGGAGAATGTTCCGTGCACGACCGAAGAAGCTCCCCACGGATGTTCACAGCTACTTACGTCAGACCGCTGTCTGAATTATTTGTGCGAAATGGTTGCACGATTCGTGAGGGACGGCCTGGGGCGACGGGTGAGGAGCTCGTCGGCGCAAGCCGCCAGCTGGCCGCGTGCCAGCACCTACCCGCGCACACCCGCCCACCACTCCGATGTCCCTTCCTCCGCCGTCCACCCTTCGATCAGAAGCGTCGCGCAAAAGGTGCCGCAGCAGTGGGTCGACACGCACAGCTATCCCAAGACGCCCAGCCGCGGGAAGCGTCGCAGCAGGAGCAGATCAATACGCACAGTTGTCTCAAGACGCACGGCTGCGAGAAACGTCGCGGTGAAAGCCACCGCCGCGCAAGCTTCGAGGTCCCACTGCGCTCGGTGGAACCTCCCCAGGCGGCCCCCAGGCTAACATTCTGGGATCCTTTTTTCTCCTGCTTGCAGGTGAGGGTTCCCGACGTGAGTCTGGGGGGGGGGGGCTGTGGGGGGTTCCCGTGAATGGGGAGAGAGGCTTTTGCGCCGTCCATTCTGGGGAGAGTGACCCCCTCCCGCCGCCGCCGCGTCCTCTCCTTCCTTTTCCCTCGAGGTTCTGATCGGTATCCCACCCATCTTCTCGCTACTGTCTCCTGTCTTGGACTTTTGCATTGTTTATCTCCTACCCTCGCCTGGCTCTGAATCCGATCACCCCCCCCCCCAGCGCCCACCAGTCCTGGGGGGGGGGCAGCGCCCGCAGAGACTTCATGTCATCAGGAGCCAGAAACCAGGATGCGGAGGAGGGAGGAGGGCGGAAAAAAAAGAGGAGGAGGAGGAGGAGGAGAAGAAGGGAGGAGGGCGGAGGATCGATGGGGAGGAGGAGGAGGAAGAGGTTGCGAGGAGGGGAAGACCTGTGCGGTGGATGAGTCGTTGGGGAAAGGGGGAACGAGCGCGGAGAGTGGAGGAGGAGGAAACGGAAGAGCAGGAATCAGAGGACGATGCTTAGAGGTGAATGGGTAGCGACACGGGGAGGGGAGGATGGAAATAACGTGGTGATGAAGGAGGAGGGTGATTGATGATGATGCTGATGATGATGCTGATGATGATGATGATGAAGATGATGATGAGCATGATGATGCTGATGATGATGATGATGATGATGGTGATGATGATGATGATGATGATGATGATGATGATGATGATGGTGATGGTGATGGTGATGGTGATGATGATGCTGATGCTGATGATGATGATGATGATGATGATGATGATCATGGGGATAATGATGGGGATGATGATTATGATGATGACGATGATGATGATGCTTGATGCTGATGCTGATGATAATGATGGCGATGCTGATGATGATGATGCTGATCCTGATGCTGATGCTGCTGCTGATGATAATGATGTTGTTGTTGTCGCTGAGAGGGGATGAAAGGATGTGGCAGGAGGCGGAGGAGGAGGACGAGTTGGAAGGAGAGGGCCGAGTGATGGAGGAGGCATGCGTGCCGAAGGCGGGGGCTAGTAGTAGAAACAGGATATGGAAGAGACCGACGGTGGTCAGGAAAAGGAGGAACACAATGGAATAACGAAGCGCCGTTCGATGCACCTCTCTTTCCATACATGTTCCATAGAGTCGGCGGTCATCGCGCATGCAGATGCGCAAGGGATACGCATTTGATGGAAGATGCGAAAGAGGGGCTGGAATAAGGGCTCTCACTCGGAAGGGGAAATTGCACGGGGGCAGACATGTAGGAGGATGGTCAGGTGGATAAGGTTGATGTCCGCGCGGAACAAGTGCAGGAGCATGCAATAGGAGAAGAGAGAGGCCGGAGAATGAGGATAGGTGAAACCACTCACTTAGGCCGTGTGCCTAAGTGGGTGTGACTGTCCTGCGTCAGGCCCTCTCATATTATGACTCGTATCGGGGACCTCGTCCATGCCATCCGGCTGCTTCCTCGCACGCCCCCATGTAGCACCGAACCCGTCACCTTTGCCCGACCCAACGTCGCCTTTTTGCCCCGGTTTGCCCGTGTTGCGCATATGGAGCGAAGAGCAAAGACACGAGTGCAACACCGAGCATCTTTTCAAAACGAAGTCATCCGTCGGTCTTTTCGACGACAGCGTCAATGCCCTTAGCATCACTCGGACGTGTGCCATTTTCCTCGGCGAGGGCCGTCGAGAAGCAGATGGATCACCGCACGAAATAATAGACGCACGGTATCGAAACATGCTTGGGAAATGGACGTCCGAGCGATGGTGAGTACCCCGCAGCGCCCTCACAGCACACACACACACATCCCGTGTTTTCCAAATAACACAACGCCGACCACTCATCTCGCATGATCGCCGCAGGCGTCTCGCGTCCGTGTCTCGCATGGTCATTGCAAAGAGCATTGGGGGGTGGCTGAGAGGCAGGGGGAATCGCGTGAGCGGGGGTGGGAAGGAGGAGGAAAGGCTGGGAGGAGGAGGACCAGGAAGAAGAAAGGGGAAGGAGAGGAGGAAGATGAGGGAGAGGGGAAAGGAGGGAATAAAAGGATTACAGCCTTCGCGTAGCGATAGAGAGGGGGGGGGGACGAGGGATGAGGGACGAGGAGGGCGGACGTGGGGAAGGGAAGGTGGATAGTGGAGATGACGGAAGGGGCGGAGCAGGAGGACACAGGACGGAGGAGGAGGAGGAGGAGGAGGGGGAGGGGCAGGAGATGGGACGAGGAGGGAGGAGGAGGATCAGAAGCAAGAGCAGGACCAAGAGCAGGAGAAGCAGGATGATGGTGCTGATGATCATGTTGTTGATGCTATTGGTCCTGATGATGGTGGTTGTGGTGATGGTGATGGTAATGGTAATGATGATGATGATGACGATGATGATGATGCTGGTGATGGTGATGATGGTGATGGTGATAGTGATGGTGATGATGATTTTGGTTGTGGTGCTGATGGCGGCAATGGTGATTGTGATGATGATGGTGTGGCTGCTCATGATGATAATGATGATGATGTGTGATAGTGATGATGATGATGCTAATGATGGTGATGGGGACGGGGGCGATATTGGTGGTGGTGATGATGATGATTATGTTGATGACGATGATGATGTTTATGGTGATGCTGATTGTGATGATAATTGCGGACGTGATACGGGTGCCGCTGGCGACGATGATTACGACGACGACGTTTGCGATGGTGATACTGATGTTTATGATGATGATGTTGATACTGATGACGGCGATGATCATTGTGAAGATTATGGCGATGAGTCTGACGATGATGTTGATGATGATGGTGATAATGGTGACAAGTGTGATGGTGATGGTGCTGGTAACGTTTATGATGATAGTGCTGGTGATGATGATGGTGTTGATGCTTGTGTTGATGATGAAGATGATTATGCTGGCAATGATGGTGATCCTTAGGCGATGATCAGGATGCTTATGCTGATAGTGATGATGATTGTCGACGTTGTGCTGATGACGGCGGCGATGATGATAACGACAACGGCCATGCCGATGGTGGTGATGAACATGACGATGGTGTTGATGATGTGTTGATACTCGCGATGGTGGTGCTGACGCTGCTGAGTATGGTGATGATGATGCTGATTATGCTGATTGTGCTGATTATGGTAATGATGGTGATACTTATGATGATGAGGCGGATGCATAGTATGATGACGATGACGTTGATGATGATGACGGTGATGATGATGGTGATGATGATGAGGAAGATGATGATGATGATGATGATGATGATGATGATGATGATGATGATGATGATGATGCTGATGATGATGATGATGATGAGGATGACGATGATGTTGATGCTGATGATGGTGGTGTTGATGATGATGATGCGGATTATGACGATGATGATGATGCTGCTGATGATGATGATGCTGATGATGAAGATCACCGTCCTTATTGCATCATGATCGTGCTATCATTGTCATGCTGATATGAAGAAGAAGAAGAAGAAGAGGAGGAGGAGGAACAGCAGGAGGAGGAGAAGGAGCAGGAGGATAAGGAGGAGCAGAGGCCACCCTCTGGCACAGGAGCTGGACGGCCTCTTTGACCACCTCAGCGCCGAGTCCGAGCGGCAGGATGCCGGGCTCGTGAGGATCGACGTGCTGGCCGAGGCAGGGGGCGGGGAGGGCGGGAGAGGCAGGGCGCAGCTCAGGGAGCCGAAGGCGGCGGCAGAAGACAATCGGCGCGCATCCACGGCTCCTTGGCCAGGCCCATGCTGTGCCCAGGAGTCGTGTGTGTGTATGCCCTCCTGGCCAAGCAAGGAGGGCGTGGCGCAGGCACCGCCGCTGGGTCCAGGCTGAGCCTGGCCAGGGAGCAGTGGATGCGCAAAGGCTGCGTCGCCCTCGGGGAGGGAAAGGCGGGGCAAGAGGAGGAGCGGGGCGGGCGTGAGGACGAGGGGAGGCGGGGCGAAGGAGGGTGGGCGGAGGAAGGATGCCAAGCAGCGGCGCGGCTCGGGAAGCAGGCGCCAGGCACTGACGAGGCGTCCTGGTCTGCTGGCAGGGCCAGAGAAGATCGGCCACGCGCAGAGGGGGGGCAGGGGGAGAGGGAAGGCTTCTAAAAAGCATTCCTGCTTCTTAGAAGGCGCGTGCCTTGTTTGTGGATGCAGGGCTGGCGCCCTCAAAGAAGCAGCCTCCTTCAGAGAAGCATTCTCCCCTCCCCTTAACCCCCCCCTGCGCGCCGCCAAGAATGTTAGAACAACCTTTCTGTGTGGTTCGCACGGAGCTTTATTCGACCAGTGTTGGTTGAGACAGTCTTGTTTGGATCCATCCGTTTTTGTATGCCGCAGGAACCTTGTTTAATCATAGCATTCTTTTGCTCTAAGAACTTTCCGTTGTCGGCCTCCAGAAATTCCGGGACGGTTAGCCCATGCTCGCAAGAGGCGGTGACGGGGAGTGGGAAAGGCGGTCAGAGGAGGAACAGATGCCGGTCCTGGAGAGCCTTCGTCGCCACGGCTGGACTCTCATGGAATTCTTGGTCAGAACGAGCCCCCAGCAGAGGTCCGCCAGGGGCTAGCAAGACGCAGTTCGGAGAGCAGGAGGGGTACAGTCAACCCTGATAGCAAGGATGAGCGATGTTTCAAGGTTTCCTTTGCAACCTCTCCCTTCGGCCCATCCTTGGCCACTTCAAATGGCCGCGGCCCCGCTCGTCAAGTGTCGGCATGGCCTTCCAAGGCCCTTGCATTCTCATCGTGCATCCTTGGCATCAGTTTCGTTTGTAGGATCGGAGGTTTTCGGAGGCTCTGGGACATCTTTGGGAGTTTTCGGGCCCGCAGGTGCTTTGCAGCAGCTGCGCCTCGTCGCGAGGCGTCTGGGTGTAAAAGGATCGTCCAGAACGACCGCCGGAGGCCTGAGGGATCGGCCGGAATCCGACCAGCAGGGTGGCGGCGGGGGGAGAGAAGAGGAAGAGGAGAAACAGGAGGAGAACGAGGAGGAGGAGGAGGCAGGAGGAGGCGACGACAAGCAGGATGAGGAGGAGGAGGAGGAGGAGGGCGGAATACGCATGTCAACCCAATGCGCGTCAGCGCTGCAACACACCCTCCCGTGCCGAGTTTCCTCCTCGCCGGTTTTGACAAGCCATCCTGTCGCTACAAGGAGCGCCCCCCTTGAGTACGCGCGCTGCACGGGCCTGCCACGCTTGCGGGAGCCCCCTTTTGAAGGGGAGATGCCTTGCCAAGCGGACCACGGTGAGGCAGGGTTCCAGAGTTCAACGAGGGGCGCAGCAGGAGCCCCGTTTTGACAGGAGCCCGCCTCCCAGTCCTTGCGAGCGGTGCTCATGCTTGCACATCAGGGCGCTATGTTTGAGACAACCTCACGCGAGGACCCTAAATGTGTGACATGGGACCGCCCCCATTTTGTGCAGCTGTTGCTGTTCAAGCTTCTGGATGTGAAGTGTTGGGAGATATCGAGCGAGAGCCCAAGTTTGAAAACGAACCGCCGTCCATCAACGTAACTACTATACATCGTTACGTGCGGGATAACACCAGCTGGCCTCCATCCGCGTAGCCTTTGCATTATTTTACGACGAGTGTGCCCAGCGCATAGGTGAGAGACCCAGTTTGAAAAGGTATCCGCCTCCATACGTGCAACTGTTGAACGTGCGCAGCATCAGGATAGTAAACTGTAAGGGGGTCTCAAGCAGAACGCCCAGACCAGCCTTCGGGCACGTCGGGTGGTGCGACAGGGAGGAGTTACTCATAGAGGTGTCATGTGTAGTATGCGCGAGAGTTATTTCAGGCACGAGTTGTTGTGCTTCCCAGCCTGTACTGTCTGTTATTGCGTAGTAGTGGTCGCTCATATGCGCTAGTAGGCGCTAATCGTCACCAGTAGGCACTAACATGATCTAAGAGACACTGGTAGGCACTACTAGGGCGGAACCCGCCTCGAAATCATTCAGACATACTACACCAACAAGGGGTGTAGGAGAAGTAGAGAGGAGGAGTAGGATGGGGAGGAAAGCGGGGGGAGGAAGGAACAGGAGGGCTCCCCGCCTCTGCTCCTCCGCCTCCTTTGGAGGCCCTTCAGCTTGTCAGGATGTGTGCTGCCTGGGGGTCCAGCTTCTGGCCCATGGTCAGGGCTCACTTCGACTCCTCCGATTCGATTCGATCCTATCGCAATGGCTTCCGATTCCGACTCGATTCGGCTTCGGATTCCGATTTGGATTCCGATTTCTCAATGGAGGCTTGCTAGCCTGCCAATTTCTGCCGATTCGATTTCTCTTCATTCGGCCGCCGATTTCCGCCGATGCGATTCATTTCGATTGCCGGTCTGACATATCGATTCGATTCTGGGCTCTCCTAGCTTCCGGCCGATCATATCAATAGGGTTCAGGAGCTCAAGATCGAGGAAGCGCAATCCCTAGCTCAGGCGCGTTGATTAGCGACGGGCCCTGTTTAGGGTTGGCGCGATCCGTCGCCAGGGCAGGTGGTCGTTGCCGCATGTGTCGGGGGCGCTTTCCCCGACTCGACGCGCCAGATCCACGGATCCGTAATCCAATATCATGCCAGCGTGCGCCCGGCAGGAGGAGGGAGGAAGGAGGAGGAGGACGACGAGGAGGAGGAGGAGGAGGACGAGGAGGAGGGGGAGGAGGAGGAAGAGGACGAGGAGGAGGGTGTGTTGGAGGTCGTGCAGGCCAGAAGGGGCAAGCTGGGTGCGCTCACGACATATCAGACACCCTACCCCTCCCACCCATCTCTTTCCAATGCATTGCTTTTTGTACACTCCGCGGACGCGTGTCATAGCGGACCTGGAGCTTCCAAAAGGATCCCGGTTTGTCATGCGCAATCGGGACGGGGAGTTGAGAACATCGGTGGAGGAGGAGGAGGAGGAGCAGGAGCAGGAGCAGGAGCAGGAGCAGGAGGAGCAGAGGAGGAGCAGGAGAGGAGGAGGAGCAGGAGGAGGGAGGAGGGAGGAGGAGGAGGAGGGAGGAGGAGGAGGAGGAGGAGGAGCAGGAGGAGGAGGAGGAGGAGAGGAGGAGGAGGAGAGGGAGGAGGGGGAAGAGGGGGAGGAGAGAGGAGGAGGAGGAGGAGGAGGAGGAGGAGGAGGAGGAGAGGGAGAAGGAGGAGGAGGAGGAGAAGGAGGAGGAGGAGGAGGAGGGAGAAGGAGGAGGAGGAGGAATAATAATAATAATAATAATAATAATGATGATAATGATAATGACAATAATAATGAGAATAATAATAAGAAGAAGAAGAGGGAGTAGGGGGGAGGAGTAGGAGGGAGTAGGAGGGAGGAGCGAGGAGGGAGGAGGGAGGAAGAAGATGAGGAGGAGGACAAGGAGGAGGAGGTGGAGCAGAAGGAGGGGTGTGTGGACCAGCAGAAGGAATAAGAATGAGGACATACTCTGAATTGATATGGCGAGAGCATTGTACTGACGTGGGGCAATGGGTGGCCACTCTTCAAGTGCACTGGCTCCGTATTTGAGGCTCTTCTTAAGTAGGGCCGTCTCGTTGAGATATTGCTTTACTTCCGACTGATTTGGTTGGTTGCCAAGGTTGACGGTCTGCAGCATCATTGCCTAATACGGTCAGCTATTCTTCTGTGTTTGGGGACAAAGCTCCCAGATCTTCGTGGGCCTTGACCTTTTGGAGTTTGTTCCCCAGGCTGAAACAACTGCCTCCGCCAGCAAGACTTCAACCCAGCCCATGTGACCGTCTGGGGTAATCGAAGCCGCTGGAGCACCCCGTTGTAAAGCAGAGAGCGCATACGTACTTGATGTGTGGGGACAGGCGGGCAGCCGCGACAGCGGCTGTGTGCTCCGCGGCTCCTGATCTCTGGATGGCGGCTTTGCCGACTGGTCCAACGGTGGTAACCTCTGCTCCGCCTTCCTTACGCACAACAGAGGAACCCGCGGCATGTAAGTTATAGTGGAACGCGTCCTCAGGTCTTGCGTCTGTTTGCTTACACCAGAACCTGCCCGCCCCCAGACCGAACCCCCCTGGAGGAGTCCAGGCAAACATTGGGTTCAAACTGGCAGCCGAGGTGGAGGGGGCTGGGGCTCAGGCATGGGATCTCGTGACCCAAGAAGCTCCCCCTTGTGAAATCCGAATGGGCATTTTCTGTCTTGTGGCACTCTAGAAGCCGTCTGGCATTGTCAGAGTGACGGCCGCACGGACAACCCAAAGGCACAGCATATCCAGCGGCAAGAGTTTCTCCATGGCCCAGATGCTCTGCGTCACAAAGGCGAGGAGCGTTGCTCTCTACTGCTCCGACAGGTCTGGCGAGCTGAGCTGAGCCGAGGACGGACCTGACGGCCGCAATCTGGATTTTCTCGCCTTGGAAGCCTAACTTGATGACAGCGCGTTCTGCAAGCTGATCTTGCCATGATATCTCCAGCAGCTTGGCCACCAACGCGGGAGAGGTCCTGACGGGGCCGCGAACTTAAAGGAACCTTGGATGGCCCTTTCAACACCAGCCAGGGAAAAGGGTAGCGACGCTGGGCGGGCCCGAAACAGACCCCCAGTTCTGGGCCGTCTTAGGGGTACTCTTTTCCCCACAGAGTCTGAACTGCTCGTGGCCGATCCGGGCTGGGAGAGGGGCGGGCGGAGGTCCCCCAAACAGGCCAGGTGACACATGAGGGCGGGGCCCAAACCAACTTTCCGCAGGGGCCCTGGAGGATCAAGAGGGCCAGCGCTCTGCTTCACGAATCTATCTGGGATCAGCAGTGCTACTGCGCACGAGCCTGCTCGAACAACGCATTGTTGATGGCCGTAGCCCCAACTTCAAAATACGTGGCGGCAGGCAGACCAGAATTGTTCGCATTCTTGCCGGTCCTTCCAGCGCCATTAATCATATTGATACGTGTCATGAGCCCTCTGATCTCCTGAATGCGTTCCGAACACACCCGTTCCTTCCACCTTCCCCAGGTCGGCCCAGCCGCTCTCGATGCCGAGGTTCGGTCCCGAATTTTCTTTGAAGGCCCAGCGACGTCCCCGAAGTCTTGCGGGGCATATCTGGGAGGTTCTGAGGTCCTGGTTGGAGGCAGGGGCGAGGCACTTCTTGGCGGCGATCTGGCATGTGAATCCATGCGCGATGCAATGGCCAGTGGCCTGGCAAGAATATTCATTTGATGGGTGGCAATGTCATAACTGCTGGCGTGGCACTGCAAGAGGATATCACATATGAACATCGACAAGACAATGCTGCTGCATGTGCTGGTCCACTGATCGAGGGGGGCAAGGGCATACATCTGGACAGGGTAGGTGGCCTAGCTGCAACCAGCGCCGAGCCCTCTCCACGGGTGACCCGCACTAACACAGGCATTTTGGAGTGCCACAGTTCTAGAGCTGCCAGGCTGCGACAGGATCGCGCAGGGTAAGCAACGCGGATAGTTTGGGGTAGCAGCGCGCTCGATTAGATTGTCGCGATCCACGTGCTCATTGTAATCGTAAAGATCCCACAGGACACGGGCATACTGTTGCTTGCACTCAAGACTTGCACGAGGATTGCTTGTAAGCGAGCTCCACGATCGAGTATCCAGCCTGGCAGCGACGATGAGACTCACATTGCCCGCCGCCGCAGGCTGGTCCAAACGCGGCGCAGAGCAGGCGGCGTGCTGATGGATTTGAACGCGAGTTCTGTTTGAACGGAATCTGGTTGCTTGAGTTTGGGCACGAGGTTGGAAATCGGGCCTTGAACTTGAGTGGGCAGGCGTCCGAGCTGCTCAATCAGCTCGATAAAACTTGGAAGCTGGGCCTGCCTGCTCCTCGTCGAGCAGGGCAAAGTGCCCGGGGTGGACGCCGCCCCAGGTGGAAGCCGAGTTGCGCGGGAAATTGATCGCAACCTTGCGGGGTCTGTTCGGGTGCGGGGGGCATAGGACTGAGGGCCACTGTCACCAATGGGAGGAAGAAGCTGGGGAGGGGCATGGGGCCGAGCGCTCCAAGTCTGGGATGACCTGTCAGCTTCGGGCTGGGGAACATGCCGCGGTTGAATAACCCGAGTACCGCTGCTGAGACGAAACAGAAGCAGGCTGCCAAGCCTCGAGCTTCTCAGTTCGCTTGTGAGCCCATCACCTACCTCGTTTCGTAGATGATTGAACCCAATCCCACCATTCCGTTTGGACCTCGCCGTGCTCGGCGGCCGACTCGGAATCGAGGGCGCGGCCGACGTGCCCGAGCAGGTCGTCTTTCATGTTGACACCCAGCTCAAAGATGAGCCGACCAGCCAGGACATCCTCGCGCAAGGGTCCGGCGGCAGAGCGAATTCCCTGCAGCCTTTGACCTAGGGCGTAAGACGAACCAACAACTCGGGGCCGTTTTCTAGATCACCCAGGGCGCCCTGAGAGCCAGGGAGACCCCCGTCCCGCATACTACGCCGAAGGTCCTGGAGCCGGAGCATCTCCGCCGTCGCAACCTGCCGCGCCAGCTGGGGCCGTCGTAGTTCCTGCCGCCGATTGTGAGGCCGCCTCTAGGCCAGGGCCTTCAGGCTCTCCACGTGGGGCACGCCCGTCACGGGGACTAATTAGCTGGATCGTCATCATGCTGAATCTGCGCTGCCTTGTGCTGGCCAGCCTTGGACAGGCCCGTCAGTTCCAATACTTTGTTGCATTGCTCGGGAGCCCTCGGCAAGCGCCCTGCCAAGACTCACTGCAGCGTCTCGAGGATGTCGCTGGTCTTGATGGGCTCACGCATCGCCATCTGGGTGACGATGTTCAGCTGCGTCTCCAGTTTTTGGATATTCTTGGTGCACGAGGCTTCGCTGAATATTGACACGCTTGTCACTAGCCTCAACGATGACACTTGCCAAGTCCGATAGTTATCTCTGATGTATGGGGTGAACCCGTTATGCTTCTGCACCGCCAGTTGATCTGACAGAGAATGCGTTTGCTGCTGCAAGGACTTGGATGCCAACATTGAAGCCTTTGTCTGCTTGAACTTCGCCCACGCTGCTTGGTGCTCATCGCCTTTAGGTGTCCACTTCTTCCAGAAAGTGACTTGCGCCTGCGTCAGCGCTACTGGGTCTGCCTCAAATTCTTCGTCACCTTCTTTCAGGAGGATCGTTCTTCTTTAGGCTTGATGGGAACACGTTGCCGCGGGACTGATCGCGACGCCCTTGGCTTGGTGGGAGGAAGGGCGCCCGGGCTATTTAACAGCGCGGTTGCACCAACATTGCTATACGGGTGGGGATCAGGCGCAGCGACGCACGTTGCGATTCATTCTGGGCGCGCGGCGACGGAGACTCAGAGTTGCGACGCAGGTTGCGGGCAGCAGCACGGACGGCGAGGACATCGACATCAAGCCCAAATCCCGCGACGAGCAGAAGTCGCACATTTCAACGACAGAGGAGTTGGAACCTGCGGTTGGTTTCATTCGGAGGATGACGCACCGGGCGGGGGCTCATCTCGAACGACTGAAACATGTAAGTTGGGTCGAATTATCGAGGCGACAGATGCGGCGGCGGGCATCCAAGCTGGCGAACCTGGACGGACGCTGGCGGGCATCTTTAGCGATGCGTTGGGACCCTGAAACCACCAGTACTACTGCAAGCCGGAAGCCGTGGAGACCGAACTTGCGATTTGAAGTTCCTATTGTTTCTTTCTTCAAGCGCAGCGGCGTCGAGAAACCGTCGTTTGAGTCTGCATAGGATCTCAAAGCATGGATTCAGTTCGAAAGCGATATCGTGCATTTCGACATGTTCTCCTGAGAAGGCGATCGGTCATGTATTTGTTGATCGCATGCGCTCGCTCTCGTCTCCCCTTTTCCTTCCTGTTTTACCCGAGACACATTCTACATTATCCGCTTTCTTTCATGCGGGATTGCGCCCCCATGCGTTCGCCCTTTCCCAGAGGACCGCCCCGAAGCGGGCCGGGACGCGAGCAGTATCGTATCGTGTCGTAAGGGCGTCAGGGCCTCGGTCTTCGCCACCAGCTCCACCGTTGCTTCCTCCTGCAATACCTGGAACTTCGGGCGTCTTGACCGACCGCCACACTGCATGCAGTGCTTACCACGAGGGTCGCACCACGCCCAGCCTTTGCAGCCCCGCCGCGCGCACGCGACAGGTGCCATATCTTGTTTCCCAACCAGTGCTTGCACTGAAGGGGTCCTAGCGGAAGTTGAAGAATTTGGCGAACGTTCCTTGCCGATTTTGGTGGCAGGCTGGGTTCCCGGGTTCCCGGTTCTGGGTTCCCGGGTTCCCGGTTCCGGGTTCCGGATTCTGGGCCGATTTCGGAGGGTGGCGAGGTTCCCAGGTTCCCGGGTTCTTGGTCGATCTTATTATCGATCGGTCTCACCATCGATCTCATTACCGACTTCTCGATCGATTTCACCATCGTTCGCCCAATCGATCTGACTTTCAATTTCACAAGCAAACGATCTCACTAGAGATCGCATGAGCGATCTCACGATCGATCTCATTGAATCAATTTCATCTTCGTTCTCACGATCGATCTTACAATCGTCTTCACTATCGATACCACTATCGATCTCATTATCGATCCCACAATCGACCTCAATATCCATGGTATCAATTTTCAAATCATCCACCGATTGGGGTTTTCTCCGGTGTAATTCTGAACCCAGCGAACGAAAGTACACCAAAAGAAGCAATTTCGACAGACCCCTGAAGGGTCTCGTGCTGATAGCCTCCGCCGGGGGCACACCAGGCACGACTTGTGGCCCGAGATTGGCCGCTGTGGCCTGTCTTGGACCAGAGTGGCTTGAGTTTGGAGGAGTCTGCGGAGAAGGAACAGGAGGAGGAGGACGAGGAGGAGGAGGAGGAGGAGGACGAGGAGGAGGAGGAGGAGGAAAAGGAGGAGCGGAGGAGACGGCGGAGGACGAGGGCGGAGGAGGTGGAGGGCGGAGAAGAAGAGAGGAGTAGTGATGAGGAGAAGAGTCAAGAGGAGAAGGAGGAAGAGGAGGAGGAAGAGGAGGAGGAGGAGAAGGAAAAGGAAAGGGCGCAGGAAAATTAACAGGAGGAGGAGGAGGAGGACGAGGAGGAGGAGGTGGGGCCATGAGCGTGCGCCAGGTCTGGAGCCTGCGGAAGGTCGCGGCCGCCCCTTCGCCTTTGGCTCAGGCCGCCGTGCGCCGAGGGGCGCACGCTCACAGAGGCGGCCCTCTCTTTGCTTGGGCAGGCGGCGGCGCCGCCGATCATCGGCGCGCTCCGTGAGACCGCGCTGCTCCCCAGAGGAGAGAAGGGCACCAAGACCGCTGCCCGCCCGTTTTCCCTTTGTGGGGCCGCCTGGGAGGCTCTCGTCGCCACCGCCATATTCGCCTCGGAATCTTGATCAGAAGGCACCCTGGGAGAGGTCGGGGGAGTCGCGATTATCGGTATCTTTTGGTTCCCCCAGCGCTGCCATGCGGATTGGCGGCGCGCCCCTGCGCAGGGCCGCCCTGGTGCTGGCGCCGCTGCTCCTGGTGGCCGGGGGCAGCGCGAGGAGAGGATGGGCTCAGGGGAGTGCGCGCATCGACCCCCTCGGAGCGAGGGGGGGCTTCGGGGTGTTCAGTCGATTTCGTTCGTTCTTGGCGGCCTTCCAGCCTTGGGATGCGTTCCGAGAGTGTTCAGGGGGTGCTGCAGCGTCCCGAACGACCGCTGTAGAGCCGAGCTCTTGACCGAAAGCCAGAGGCACCGTGAGGGGGGGAGGCTGACGGGGGAACGCATCGACCCCCGATCGTCAATGCATCGGCGACAGGGGCCCAGTAGCACACCTCGCCCAGGCACGTGCGGATTCCCCATCAGGGGGTCTGTCGCCAATCTACCGGCGGTGTGTCGCCGATTCCAGCTCGACGTTGCTTGCTCCCCTTCTGAGGCGGTTCTCCCCCATCGTTCCCTCTCATGCCCGAAGGATCGGGTGTGCGGGGCTCGAGCGGACCGAGGTTCGATGGTGGTCGAGAGGTTTCGGGGAGGTCCGAGGGGGTCGAGGTTCATGGAGGGCGAGGTTCCAGGTAATCGAGTTTCGAGGCGGTCGATCGAGGATCGGATCGAGGTTCACCGAGATCAAGGATCGAGGTGCTCGGACAGTTTCGAGGTTCGATCATCGAGGTTCGAGGATCGAGGCTACAACCCCTGAGCAGGCCCCCCTCCCACACGGTAGGTCCGGTAGGTTTGCATCGTGTCGACAGGCGGCGACCCCAGCGCGGGCGTGTCAGGTTGAACGGCGCCCGTGGCCCAGAAAATCGTTGAACGATCTGACGCTTCGGAGAAGGCCGATCGTTCAAGGTTGAACGATCGCTCAAGGTTGAACGATCCCCAATGTGTCAGGAACCCGCGCCGAAGTCGGCACGACTTGTGATGTTCCAACCTAGTTTTCACCACCAGGAAGAATTTCGAGCGACAAGAAAGTGAAAGTACCGAAACTGGAGGGAATGCACGCGTCGGGCCTTGGAAGGCGTTACTCGTTGCCCACTTCGCCATCGTGTCGTTTAGACACTGTTTCGAAACTTGTCTGGGCGCTCGGGGCTCATCTCTGTGATGTGGTCCGTACACACGATGGGAACAGCAGAAGGCACGACACGAACCTGCCGTGACGGTCCCCCCTCAGGCGGCCTGCGTCTTCGCTGCGGCCGTTCTTCGCTGGCGGCCGTCCTCCGACGGCCCGGAGGGCCTGAGGCGAGCAGCGGCCGGGGACGCCGTGCAGGTCGGGGGGACGGGGGAGAGGACGAGGAGGAGGGCGCAGGCATTACGGCATGGTTGGGGCACCAAGGCACCACCAAGTTTAGTTGATGACTGCGGCCTGGCGGGCGCATGCTCTAAGGTCAGGACCCCGCACTCTTTTCGCGTCTGCCTGCCCTTACTTTTCTTGCTGCGCCCGCCAGGCCTAATTTGTTTGCGCTTTGCCTAAGTCGGCAATGTGCATGTCCTCCTATCGCACTAACGCTCCATGCTAAATCTCATCAGGACGCAGCATGCACCATCGAACAGCCACAACAGCTACACTACGTTTGTGTTGTTTTGCGTGGGCCCCAGGGGGAGCACTTGCAGGCTGCCCGGGGTTCCAGCTCCTGCATGCAGGATCATTTGTTGTCTTCCACATAGTTCCATCGCGCACATAGAAATATGTAGGCGTTTGATTGTTTTCGTGTGTGTTCTCTGTCTATATCGCTATCTGCATTGTTCGTTTCTTCTATACAATGGATTGCCCCATGTTGGCGTGCAGAATAGGATTTGTTGTTGGGACACGTATCGCCCGTGTGTGGTGTCACACTGTCTGGCCCCGTGTGTGCCTCCATGGTGGCGTGTAGGGTGCGAATGAAAACGTGGTAGAGTTACTCACGCGGGGTTTTCCGAGTCACGCGGTTTTCGGGGTGACGCGTGCCACCCGCGTGTGTTGTCACACTGTTTGGTTCTCGTATGGCCCCACGCTGGCGTCCATAATCTGACTGGAAAAATTAGTTCAGCTCACGCCGTTTTCGGGGTGATACGTGTTTTTTCGAGGTTGTCTCTCTCTCTCTCTCTCTTTCTCTCTCTCTCTCTCTCTCTCTCTTCTTCGTAAAGGCACGTCAAATTATTTAATCGTTTCGCTCATTTTGCCGGCCCTGGAACGGTATTTGGGGCTTCGGAGGGCCGTCTTGGGGGCTTCTTGGGGGTTTCTTGGGAGCGTTTTGGGTTTCCTTGGCGGCGTATTGGGCTCCCCTGGGGCCTCTCGGGGGGGCTCTTAGGGGCCCCTTGGGGCGGGAGGGGGGGAGTCGTTGGCAGCCCCCCCCATCGGAGGCCACGGTCCTCGTGAGGGGTGGCGAAAAATAGCTCCCCTCCTGGGGATCGCCCGGGGGTCAGCCGTGGATCGGCCGGGGTACTTTTCGTCCGGGGCCCCGCAGGGGCCGCCCCGCGCGCGCGAATTAGAAATATTGTTAAGGAGTTACCGGAAATCTTAGCACGCCTTTGGCCCGTTGGGCCGGCGAGTGTCATTTGAGTGTCCCGAATACGAGTGCGGTTTTCGGTACGCGCAGTTTTCGGGGTGACACGTGTCGCCCCTGAGTGGTTTCACGCTGGATGGCCTCATGTTGGCGTCCAGCATATGAGAAAAAATGTGTTGTGTTCACAAGGGTTTCGGGAACCGTATGACCCCATGTTGACGTCCAGCTGACGAGTGGACATATTAGTATTGCCCACCGCGTTTTCGGGGTGACATGTGTCACCCCGTGTGGTTTCACATTGTGTGGCCCATGTTGGCGTCCAGACGGCTTTCGGGGTGACGCGTGTCACTTTTTTGCGGTTTCACATTGTGTGACCCCGTGTTGGCGTCCATAATAAACTGCAGCAGTTGTTTCTTGTCGGCCTGACACGTGCCACCCCTGTGTGGGCTTTCAGACAGCAATTATGGCCCCATGCTGCGGTCCAGAGTACGAGTGGGCCCCCCTGACAATCCATCAGTTACTTGATTATCACCTCTCTTTGTTCCCCCCTCTCACCCTTTCACCATTCATTATCAATGTTGTCCCCTCGTCATTCATCCCATCTCCCTGCTCGCAGCAGCCCATGTTGGGCCATGGCGAAACCGAGGCGAGGGACGCGCGCGCGGCCCCCGCCGCCCCTGCCAACGCCCGCGCCCAGCTTGCGCAGGCCCACGCCGCACGCGTTCGCAGCGGCGGCCGAAGCGCTGCCTCGGCCCGGCGGTCGCGGCCCGACGGCCCCGACCTGCAGCCCGTGGTCGAGGGCAGAGAATCGCCGCCGATGAGCGGCGGCACTTCGACGGCAGCGGCCGCCAGGAGATCTGAAGCTGGCGGGCAGCGTTGGTCGCAGCGGCGGCCATGCCCAGGCGAGGCGCGGCGGGCGTGCAAGTAGGCGCGCGGGCGTGCACGGGGGGGGGGAGGCGCGGCATCGGGCGGCGGGCCCTCGGAGGGCTCCACCGGGCCCTCGGAGGGCATTCGGTTCTGATCCTGCAGGACTTCAGAGCACCTGCGTGACCCCCCCCCCGACCCTGCGGCCGCTCCAACGGCATCTGCTGGCGCCCCGGGGCGCCAGCAGGTGCTGTTAGAGCGCCTGCAGGATCTGGTCTGGGAGGCGCTCTCCAAGGGGCGAAGGCGCTGGGGGGCGGCCTCGGGGGGCTTCCCCTGGCCCGAGGCGCTCGTCTGCGAAGGGGCGGGGGCGGGCGCGCGGGAGGATGGGGGGGCTCGCGGGCGCGCGGACGGGCGAAAGAGAATTGCGGTAGTGGGGGCGGGGGAGGAGGAAGAGGAGGAGGAGGAGGAGGAGGAGGAGGAGGAGGAGGAGGAGGAGGAGGAGGAGGAGGAGGAGGAGGAGGAGGAGGGGGGAGGAAACGGAGGAGGAGGAGGAGGAGGAGGAGGAGGAGGAGGAGGAGCAGGAGCAGGAGCAGGAGCAGGAGCAGGAGCAGGAGCAGAAGCAAGAGCAGGAACAGGAGCAGGAGAAGGAGGGCGTCGCGCGCCGCCGTCGCGCGTTTCCAGCAGCTCAGGCGCAGGAGTCGCCCCGCAGGGGCAGCCAGGTGCCCCGACAGCTGCGCAGCCAGCCGCCGCGCCAGCAGCAACTGCCTTGCAGCTGCCCCAGCAGGAGCAGCAGGCGCTCCGGCAGCTGCCCTGGCGCAGCACCGCCAGCAACGGCTTCAGCTCCAGCCCCCGCAGCAGCCGCCGCGGCCTCTTCAGCTGCCCCTCCAGCAGCGCCAGCAACGCCACCTCGGCCACGCGGCGCCAGAGGTCTTCGGCGCGGGGGCCTCCCAGTCGGAAGCGCTCGCGGGGGGCGCGGTCGCGGTGGCGGCCGCCTCGCCCGTCCCCGTCGGGCGTTGGCGGCGACTGGGGCGCGGCGCAGCTGCCGCCTCCATTGACCGCCCCGCCAACGACCCAGGACCCCCCCGCCGCCCACCTCGCCAACCCCATGCTCGGGAACGCAGGCTTCGACTTGCAGCCGCAGGCGCCTCCAGGCGGCACCCCTGGGATGATGGAGCTCCAGCAGCAGAGCGGCGGCCGCGAGCAGGTCGCCGCGTCGCTCGCAACGACGCAAAGTTGCGACGAGAAGACCGAGCGCAAGCTGGTTGAGATGCGCTTGTGCCGCGAGCAGCAAATGAAAACGCTCGCGCAACGCGGCGATAACGTCAGGGGGGAGCTCAAGGAACAGAGCGAGGGCGCCAGGAAGGAGACGATGCAATGGGCCCACAGCTTGCAGGGGCAGAACGCCACATTGAACGTGCTGGTCGCCAGAAACAACGATGCGCGCGCAGCGGGGCAGCGACAAGAACTCGCAGCGGGGCGACGGCGACGGCTGGAGGAACAAATTGCCTCGGCAGTATTGAGCCGCAGCGGCGGCCTGCTTCGCGCGGCCCGCGCGCGCTCACGCGGCCCTGCGCTTGCCGCGAGGAAGAAAAGCACCGCGAACGCCAGATTCATCACCAACGCCAGAACCAGCATCACATCGGAATCGTCAGCGCCAGCGCCATCGTCATCGCTATCATCATTTCCATCGTGGTAGGCATAATTCGCCGCCATCAGCATCATCAGCGCCGTCGATGGCCTCCTTTATCTCCTCGTCGTCCTCGTCGCTCTCCTTCATATCCTCTCTCTCTCTCTCTCTATTTATTTTGTTTTTTTTCTCTCTCTCTCTCTCTGTCTCCCCCCCCTCTCTCCGTTTGTCGATTTCTCTATCTCCCTCTCTCTCTATCCCTCTCCCCCCTCTCTCTCTATCCCCCTCTTTCTCTCTCTCTCTCTCTCTCTTTCTATCATTCGGCCCTCGTCTCTCGCATCTCTCTCCCGTGTGACTGCGCGCCCCAGTCCACTCCGCGACTCTTCCTCAAGTTATTTCTCGTTCTCTCTTTATATATATCTATGTCTCTCTCTCTCTCTCTCCTTAACTCTCTTTCTCTCTCTCGTTAACTCTCTCTCTCTCCCTCTTTCTCGGTCTCTCCCTCTCTCTGCCTCAGTATCTGTCTCGCTCTTTCTCTCTCTCTCTCTCTCACTCTCTCTCTCCTTCTCTCCCTGTTTCATCCTCTCTCTCTTTCGTTCTCTTTCGTGTTTTTGTTGTTCTCCCCCCTCCGTCTCTCTCTCTCTCTCTCCCTTTTTATAGATTGTTGATTATTTCCTTTCTCTCTCTCTCTCTCTCTTGCAGGCGCTCTGGGAGCACCTGCAGCGGCGGACCTGCAGGCGTTCCGAGAGCGCTTGATTTTCACACCAGCGGCCGATAGTGTAGTTTTCGGTTGTTCGATCAGCACTTGACGCCCGCTCGACTCGAACAAGAGGAGGGCGAGGTGGAGGACGAGGATGAGGGAGGGGGGGGGGCGGGGGAGGGATGGAGATGAGGAGTCAGGGGGGGGGGGCGGCCGTTCAAGCCACGAGAAGGACCACTGCAAACCAAAGATGCATCAACGATGTCGCCATAAACCCTCACTGAAACTTCCCTCTTCGTATGTCCGTACCAAGGATCCGCAGAGTCTGCCGCCGCACCAGAGCTATGATGGGATGCCTGGCGCCGGCTTGAAATCAATGTCGGAGCATCATGCGATGACGGCTGGCAATCGTGGCGTCGTTCCACAGGGCATCGTGGCCTCAGGAGCGTGAGCGTGGTGTAATTTGGAAGGGATCGTCGCCTCAGGGCGCGAGCTCGTAACAATTTGCAAAGATCTTCGTCTTGAAGACGCGATCCAGGCGCAAATGCGAGGGATTCTGGTTTCCCGAGCGAGAGTCTGGTGTATGTATAATATGGTTCTGGCCACGGGAGCGCGAACCAGGTGAAATTTCAACAAGGGTTTTGGCCTCGGGAGCGCGAGTCTGGCGCAATCTATTTCGGATTCTGAGTTCGGGGGAGCGAATCTTGCAGACATCGGAAAAAACTATGGTCCCAGGAACGCGATCGTAGCGAGATGTTATAAGGATTCTGGCCTCGATAGCGCGATTTGGGTGCTATATACTTCGGGTTCCGGTCTCGGGAGCGTGACCCTGGATTAATTTACCAGGAACTGTTGCCTTGGGGCTTCGAGTTTCACGCTCGCTGATGCATTCCATACCCACCATAAATTCAGGCAGCGCGATTCGGGGGTGGGAACTGTTCGTCGTTCTGTTCTCCTCCCATCGCTCGGGCATGGACAAGTCACAGTAGGAGACAAAACACAGAACACGAGCATTGAAAACTGAAATCTGGTACTGGCGCAGGAAGCAGGACGCCTGCACCACGCAGCCTGACGGCCACACAATGGGGCCGGCGGATTTTCATTGCGGAAATTGCCCGATTGGAAGACAATTCCTTGAGAATTTTCAAACGCGCCAGAGACCATTCTTGGGAGGCCAACTGCACGAATCAACATAATTGTTGTGCCCTGGCAACCTAAATTGGATTGTGCCAGAATGCCGCTCTTGGGATTTAATATCCGCAAAGTAACATGATTGTTGCGTCGTGGCGCTCCTCATTCATGCCAGACCACCATTCCTAGGATTTCAACCATACGAGTCCTCTAAACTGCTGTGAACTGTTACGGCGAAAGTGCACGGCCCTAAGGCGAAAGCCATATTTGGAAAACGACCCGCTTTTCATCCTTGAAGCTGCCGCGAGCATGTAAAACGAACACGCGCGACGATACAACGACAGCAATTATTTGAAAACGATCCGCCTTATGTTTCTGAAACGGTTGCTAGCACGGCGCTGTGGCGAGTGCATTTGTTTGAGAAGGACTTGTTATCCACGCTCGAAGTTGCTGCAAACTTGTTGGACGAATGTGCGCGGCGCTAGGTCGAGAGCCCCATTTTGAAAACGACCCGCCCTCCATCAGTCAAAGTGTTGCAAGTTGCAAGTTGCAGGATCCCTACCGACACGCCTGGGGATGCGACAGTGAGGAAGTAGATGTAAGGAGAAAAGAGCCGTTGCCGCAGCGGCCGGGTGCTCCTCGATTTTTTGGGCGGAGTGACGCACCCCGGTAGAGGAGGAGGAGGAGGAGGAGGACGAGGAGGAGAAGGAAGAGGAGGAGGAGGATGAGGAGGAGGAACAGGTTTACTTTCTCCCCCTTCCCCTCCTGTTCCCTCCCCTCCGCCACTCTCCATCATGCTCCTCCTCACCCTCTCCCTCCCTTCTCCTCCTCCTCCTCCTCCATCCCTTTTTCTTATAAGTAGCTCCTCCCTGTCGCACCCCGATGCGTGTCGAAAAGGCGGGCCAGCGTTTCGCCTGAGACTTCCTCACCATTCATTGCCTTTACCCTTGAATCTTGCAAGCATTTCACAGATTAAGTTCCCGCCTTAGTGCCGCGCGCATTCGTTCTAAATCATCCCAGCTATATGCAGTTGTGAGTACCGCCGTAGTCAAAAACGCCTTCAGAAGAGCCCACTACGGGGCAACGAAACGCGTGAAGGGAGCCCCGAAAGGCCGCCATGCAGGCGCTGCCGCTGGGGCCGCCAGCAGGGGGCGCGGAGGTCAGAAGAAACGGGTTGCTTGCTGATGTAACCCGTTGCGGTTGACAAGCACCGGGCGAAGCGGAAGAGGGCGTGCGGGCGTGGCATGCCAACGTAGGCACTGAGGCTTTCGGGGGAGCTTCCTACGGGGCCCCGAAGCGTGTGAGAGGTGTGCCAAAATGAGGGGGGTGGCGGCATGCGAACGCAGCCACTGGGTCCTTACGTGTAGCTCCCTATGGGGGCACGAAACGTGTGAGGGGTGTGCCAAAGTGAGGGGGGTGGCGGCATGCGAACGCGGTCACGAAACGTGTGAGGGGTGTGCCGAATAAGAGTTTCGCTGATTGAGGGCGGTCCGTATTCAAAATGTGGCTCTCGCTTTTTGCGACGCGCACATTCGATTCAAACATGTGCAAGAGTTCCATGGATGGAATACGGTACCTTTTCAAACTATGGTCCTCGCTCAAGCGCCGTGCGCAGTCGTCTTAAGAGCTTACAACAGATTCAAGGTTTCTTAGGGTGGACATTCGAGATATGGTGCTGGTAGGGTGTAAGATTTCTTATGGGCCAACAGCTACGTTGATTCACGGTTTTGAAGTCCTAGAAGTTTCGTTCTGGCGCGAGTGAGGGTCGCCAGGAGGCAACAGTAACATTGATTCGCGGCATTGGAGTCCCAGAAACGGTGTTTTGGCACGCCTCAGGATTTTCAGACGGTTGTCTTCCAACGGGGCATTTCCCTCAGAGGCAACGAATATTGTAGGGTCCTATGAAGAGTCAATTTGGATATTGATGATGGGTCTAGTGTTTACACTGGTCCTCCTCTTCCTCCTCCTCCTCCTCCTCCTCCTCTTCCTCCTCCTCCTCCTCCCATCCTCCTCCAGGGAGGACCGTGGAAGCGCAGGCATGAGCTCGGGCGCGCTGATTCGCGACAGGTCCCGCTTCCGTGCAGATCCGGCGCGCTGCGCTGCCAAATCGGGCGGCGTTGGCTTCCTGTTTCAGGGGGTGTTTTCGCCGACGCGTGGATCTCGCGCCCACGCGCGAGATCCACGGATTGGTGATCCATATCAGCGTGTGCCCGAGAGGGGGCGGGAGGAGGAGAGGGCGGAGAAGGTCTTCAGGCCAGGAGGAGGAGACGGGGGGAGAAAGTATAAGCGGGCTGGGGGATGAGGAGGGCGAAGGGCGGATGAGGAGGAGTGGAGGAGGAGGAGGAGGAAGCTCCGCGGCGCAGGATCTCCTCCTTGCCAGGAAGGCGAAGTGGTCTGGCGTTGTCATGAGCTCGATCGGGGTGTTCTCTGGCCTGAAGATCGAGCAGGGCTTCAGCAGGGCGGCCTTCTGGGAGCGGAGGTGCCCGATCCACGCCATCGGCCACGGCACAAGCGGCGACGCCGAGGTGTACACCGCAGCATACAACGAGTGCACTGGGGTCGCGGACGTCGTGTATTACAGCGTGGATGCAGCAAAGTTCCGGACAGGGGCCGGGCGATTTCCTGGCTGGAAGAACGACCCGGAGCTGGTGCGCGTGATGAGGAGTCGCGGCAAGCGGAGGGACCAATATGCAACCGTCGACGATTACCCTGGGGTTGGCGTCTTCAGCATCGACCGGGGGCACCAAGCCCCTGTGGGCGCCTTCAATGGCGATGAGGATCCACTTTCTCCAATTCCCCTCCTGTCCTCGCCTCCCCCTCTCTTTGCCTCTCCATTGCTCCTTTTGCTCCTGGTCCTCTTCATCCTCCTCGTCCTTTTGCTCCTGGTCCTCTTCATCCTCCTCGTTATGCTTCTCCTCGCCTTCGCTCTCGCCCTACTCTCCTGCTGAGGCATCGGCCAAGATGACCAACACTCCTACAAACCTTTCTCCGCAGAACGGCTACCTCAACAAGGGCGTGTGGAATACCGGGCTCGGGAGTTCGCCAACTGTGCTACTCCTTCCCCCTCCAGGGCTCATTTCGATCCGACCTATCCGGTTCGATGTCGATCTTGGCCAGCCCAGTCCGATTCGAATGCGATATTCCGACGCTTCGGCGCGGCCCGATGCTTGCATGGCGCTGTTGTTGTGCGTCATGGCGTTGCCGATCCGACTCGATTCAGACTCCGCGCTGATGCATTCCAGTTTGATCCGACTTCCCGACCTGATGCTGTGTGGCAGTGTGTTTTCTGCCTATTGACTGATTCCGCCAGGGAAGGAACGCGTAGGTACAGAAGGGGGGAAGGGAGGCAGGAGCACCACAGAGCGTAGATTCCTGGGCCCCACTATTACCTGGAGCAGGAGATGCGAGACAAGTCGGTGGAAGCCAATGACGTAGATGATGCGGAGAAGGCTAGTTTCGAGTTGATCACGGGACCACTCTATGAAGTGCCAGAAGCGTTTTTCAAGAACGCCCGCGGGAAGAAGGCGTGGGAGGAATTGTTGTGGAGTGGTGGCGAGGTGAACAAGGAGCAGCCTTGGTGCGATAAGGCTGTCGGGGCAGACGGCTTCCGGTCGAGTCCTGTGCGGCAACCCGACGGCTCGGCAGCCACCCAGAAGGTCACGTGTCGCACGGGCCGATCGAAGCTGAGTCGCCCGCACGACAATCCGAATCAACTCTCGATGCATTTCCAGCGAGACAGCAACGCATTCCCGCTGCGCATCCCGGTAGGCTATTACAAGCTGGCCGTCCTCGGCGACGACAGCCATTATGGCCGCCACACCTGCCCCTACATCATGGACCAGGCTGGGCAGTGCATGCTGGTGAGTCTCGATCTGCTGCTCAAGTTGGCCCACCTCGACCTCAGCGAGTCGCAACTCGCAGGCCTCGGTGGCATGGCCGTCCGGCCGGTGGACTCTGACCACGAATATTCCGCCGAGGTGCACGCCGAGTTCTGCCTGCAGCGAGGCAGGACAATCCACAAGAAGAAGCTGTGCTACGACGCCACCGCACAGACGGACCTCGGCGGCCAGCCAAGATACCGATACCACGTGTGCGTCGCCCTCCCAGGGGCGACGCGCCCGCCTCGAAATCGTACAGTACATGCGCGGTGGCGGGCGTTTTCTGGCCACGGCGCTCGGGGAACGATCTGCGGCAATCTGTTTGCGCTATGTGTTCGGGTCGGACGCCCGCCTCCGAGGAGGACACATATAGCTTGAGAATGTCCCCTGTGCGTCCCGCAGGGTCTCTCCATGAAGACGTTCGAGGACTACTGGCGGGTGCGTGCGTAGGCCGGGGCAGCGCGGGCGAGGGCTGGCGTGCGATCGCGCCCGAGGGGGTGCGGCAGCCGGCGAGAGCTGCAAAAGGGCCTGTGCGCGCCCTGCGGCGGGGGGGGGGGCGACTGCAGGTGTCGAGCAGCAAGAGGCGGGGCTGGACCTAAACGGTGTTTTTGGTGATTTCGTGGGCCGTTTTCGTTCCGACTTCGTTTTGGTTAGGTAAGGTTCAGGTTGGGTTCAGCCCTGGCAAGAGGCGGGGGTCGATGCAGACGGGGGTCAGCCAGAGCGCCAGGTCCTGCAGGATCCTGCAGGGCCAGGGTTGCACTGCCCCAGGCTGGCGTGCAGGATCCGGCAGGATCTTGCAGCATCCTGCAAAGCCTGACTGACCTGGGTTTGCAATGACCCGGGCCAGTGGGTCGTCGACAGGTGGCACGGCGGCAGGGGGTCCTCTGGCTTGCAGAGGAGGGGCAGCAGCACGGTGCGAGGGAGGTGGTCCAGGCCTCTCATATGGGGTCCAGGCAGATGGCGTCGGAGGGTGGCGCCGCATCGCCGATGCGGCTCGATGTGGAGCCCGATTTGCTCTACGCGGACGGCGCGGATGAAACGCCGATGCATCCATCGCCGATGCTGTGCGATCTTCCGTCCCCACCTACTCGGACCCCACCTAGGAGGCCTGTAGCTGAGGAGGAGGAGGAGGAGGAGGAGGCCTGAGGATGCAGCTCGATGTCCAGGTCTTCTGCCCGCTCCATGCAGGCTGGCCCGAACTCCAGGATGGTCTCCGCGTTCTCAGGGACGCGCGCCACCATACCTCTGCGACCACCCTCCCCTCCTTCACGGCCTGGCGTTTGACGGCTGCGTCCGCCCAAGTGTCGCAGAGTTTCTGCAGCTTGCCCGCCAAGCTCGCGACCGTGGCGGCGTCCGGCTTGCCGTTGATCCCGATATCCTGCGCCTCGACGGTGTGGATGCCCGTCGGTTCCAGGTCGGCCATACCCTCCTCGGACGAGCTGCTGGCGATAGCCTGGAGCCCCTGCATGTGGTCCGTGGCGCCACAGCCCAGCGACCCCCGGTCGGACACGTGCACCACCTCCTCTGCTTCGACCTGGTCCAGTGCGGCCGCGGCAGCTGCCTGCCCCTGGGCGCGCCTGGGCAGCCGCCGCGCCTGCTTGCCGATGACGGCCTGCGCTGCGGGCACGGCTGCCCCGAGCGCATCGCGCTCCAGCTCCGAGGCAGCGACGGCTTCGGGGAGGATGGCGCCCTCGTCCTCGCCGCCACTCCGTGGCAGCGACGGCCTCCTCGAGGATGGCGCCCTCTGCCCCGGCGGGGGAGGGATCGGCCCAGGCCCCGTGGCTCCACCTGCCCCAGGCACGCGCAGGGCGGGATCCGGGGAGCTGCCGGCCTCGGCCGCTCGGCGTCCGAGGCCGCGCCTCGCTAGGTGGCCTCTGATGTGCTTCTGCACTGCCGTGGCCGCCCAGCGCTCCCTGTCGTCCTGCCTGCGTTGACTGTCCCAGCGGGCCGCCTCGGCCGCATTGCGCTGAGCCAGCTCCCGGCGGCCGCCAGTTCTTGCCGTACCCCTGCGCCGCCTGGATTTGGTGTGCCAGACGTCCGCGCTTCGCGGTGCGCCTCCGCTCGTTGCCGAGAGGAATATCCAGCCTCGCCGCCACAGGAGGCCTTTGCGCATGCGCCTAGCACCCGTTCCTTCACGATGTTATTCGTGGTCCAGCCGTTCGCGTCCTGCGCGCCGCAGTCCTCCTCCATGGAAGCCACCTTCTTCTCGATGGCCGCGGCGTCAGGAGGTGCGTCCCTGCCTTGCCCAGGGGCAGTTCTAGCCCAGCGGCGCTGCCCCAGGAAGCCCCATCGCCAGTACCTATCACCTCCTTCTCCGCGACCTTCTCATTGCTGCCGACCGCCCAAGGAGCACGGCGAGGACCTCGACCTTCCGCCGCGCAGAGCCGAGGGTCAGGTAGCGACGTGATGATGATGATGATGATGATGATGATGATGATGAGGAGGAGGAGGAGGAGGAGGAGGAGGAGGAGAAAGAGGAGAAAGAGGAGCAGGAGGGAGAACGATAAGGAGCGGAAAACACATCCCCCGTTGAGTGAACGCACCCCCGCCCAGTGGGGAGGGCCGAGAGGTCTCGAGCGCGGCGGGCGGGGGCGGAGCTCGAGGGCGCATTGGGGCAGCGCCTCGGGCTGTCAATCGGGGTGACGACGACGCTGCCGACGACGACGAGGGCGACGACGACGAGGACGACGACGATGACGACCATGATGGCGACGACGACGACGACGACGACGATGAGGACGACTGAGGGCGACGATAGCGACGACGATCCTAACGGGCGGGTCGAGCGGGCGGACCCTAACGGGTGGGTTTGAAGTTTGTCGTTTCTTCGAGTAGCAAGAGTGCGCGTGGATTTGTTGGATCTGCGTTGGGACCCTTGGCGGCGCCTGAGGCGTTGCTCCTGGCGCGCTCCGGGCGCCAGGGAGGGGGTCCAGCGCAGATGCACGAAGTCCGCGCGGAATGTCAAAAGTTGATGCTTCTTTCGGTTCCTCCATTTTCGGATGTCTTCGTCGGCTCTCGTCGGGCGGTTTTCCGGCCTGGGGGTTACCTCCAGCAGGTGCGCCTCGCCGAGAGCGTCCAAGGGGTTGCCCGGATCGTTACCCGGGCTATGATCCGAAAGCCAGACGCCGAGGGAGTTTATCCATACCCATCGGTCGTTGAAAGTAGGAATTTTCGGATTCCCAGATTCCAGTCTGCTTTAAGCGCCTTCCTATTTCAATGATCGAGTGGCTTCACCTATTCCGTCCTTCTTAGGGGGCGGACTGAACCCAATCTATTGTCAACGCCCTCCTACTTCATGTTCCTATCTACTTCTTCCGACCGATGGGTAACACCACCGCTCGGGGGACGGATCTTCGGGGACCTCGGCAGGCGGTGGACGTGGATATGTTCGGGCCTTGGGCGGGTGGCAAGTGGTCATCCGTATCCACCTTCTGCCGAGATCCCCGAAGATCGAGGGCGCGCTGAGCCACCAAGGGTGGCTCGAGTCGGGTGGAGGGGGAAGAGTATCGAAGACGCCGCCGCCGTTGGGAGCCAATAGGCGTGCTACTCCTCAGCGTTGTTAGAACTCCCAGCGTTCCCATGGGTTCCCCACGGCGGCGCCTCGTTGCTTACGATGGTGTTCCAGTGTCGAGCCGAGGCATACACAAAACAAAAGCGACATCAGCGTCACCTTTTGGAGCGCTCGGCGCGGATTTCTTGGATCGGCGCTGGGTCCCCCATGGCCGTGCCTCCGGCGCCGCCCCCTGCGCCCCCCCGCGCCGGGACAGAGGTGCCAGGCGCGATCCGAGAGAAATCCGCGCGGGACCCTGAGAGTATACATATAACGGCGCACCGGGTCCGGGCGCCCAGGGCCGGCGCCGCTACCGCAATTGTGGGCTCTGGGACCTCGGCGAGCCCCGGGGCCTCGCAGAAGGCCGCCAGAAGGCGCCAAGGAGGCCCCAAGAGGCTCCAGAACAGACCCGGGGCGCCCGAAGGTCGCTCCCAGACCCAGGCCCCAAGAGGCTCCAGAACAGACCCGGGGCCGCGTCGCATGCTCGCCTCTTGGGCTGTCACCGCGTCCAAGACGGCCCAAGAGGCCCCCCAAATCGGCCTAGGAGGCCCCCAAGAAATTTCCAAGACGGCCTACGAGGAACGCAGGACGGCCCAATCGGCCCCAAAGACGGCCCAAGAGAAGCCCAAGAAGCGCCCGAGAGGGGTCCCAGAAGAAGACAGCCACTTTCGATTTCCGAGCTTTCGGTCCCAAGAGCCCCCAGGAGGAGCCGAGTTTTCAAGCATTATACAAGCACGTCAGGGGGTCAACGTTCTTTGTATTTCGAGAGGGCAAGGTTACCGATACGTTTTTCCCGGCCGCATGCCACCCCTTGAGCGCGCCGCCGCGGTTGGCGCATTAGAGGCACCGATCGCATACGTTGGTTTTTGCAGCCAATATCATCAGATGCTCGGGGAGCAGGACCTGGATTCAACTGTCCAGCCCGACTTGGCAGGTTTTGTAGTGAGGTGTCCATGTTTTGCGACGGTGGTCGAGCCTTCCCCTTTCGCAGACTCTGCCACGCCAGCCGATGCGATCAGCCTTGCAGACGGGTACGTCCATCGATGCTAGGTGAGATAATCCATGTACGGCGTTTGCAGGCCAGACGCTTAGCGTCTGTGGCCGCGCCTTCTTGTGGATCTCGCCCGCATTTGACAAGCCACGGGCTTGCCATCCTGCGCTGATGACACCGTACCCAAAAAACAAAAAAACATTGCAAGTGCCCGCCGCCCAGTTTGATGTCGTGAGGGCGGTCCCACGCTTCACATGTGGAGCGTTGCTTCGCTCAGCTTCGGAACTGAATCGGATCTTGAGCTCGACCCGGGGCGCCCGAAGGTCGCTCCCAGACGCCCAACATGGCCTCCAAGGCGGCTTCAGAAGCCCCCAAGACACCCCAAGCGACCCCGAATAGGGCCCCAAAGAGAGCCCCAAGGGGCCAAAATAGCCCCATGTCCTTTTTTTAACGTATATGTTTAGCATATTGTTTGTTTTCGCTGTCGGTCCGTGTTTGACGACCTCAGAAGCTCCCAAGACCGCCCCAATACGGCCCAGGACGCGCCCCAGAGGGCCCCAATACAGCCCCAGGAAGCTCCAGGACGGCCCACGAAGGGCCCAAGACGGCCCAAGAGAGTCCCCAAGACGGGCCCGGGAGGGCCCCAGAGGAGGAACGCCACCATCGAATTCCAAGCTTTCGACCCCAAGTGGCTCCAGGAGGCGCCGAGAAGCCCCCAAGAAGCGCTCCGAAGGCTCCCAAAAGCACCCCAAGACGCTCCAAGAGGCACCTCCAGAGAGCTCCAAGAAGCAACAATCGTCCCATTCCTGTGGGGAAACGTATATTTTTCGTATGTTCGCCTGTTGGGCTGTCATCGCGTCCAAGACGGCCCAAGGGGGTCCCAAGACGGCCTAGGAGGCCCCCAAAAGAGCTCCAAGACGGGCCACGAGAAGCCCAGGACGGCCCAATGGGCCCAAGACGGCCCAAGAGAGCCCCAAGACGCGCCCGAGAGGAGTCCCAGAGAAAGAAAGCCACTCTCGAATTCCGAGCTTCCGCCCCAAAACACACACACACACACACACACACACACACACACACACACGCTGAGAAACCGTCGCCCCATCCATTTGTTCCGTTCCCAACAATCATGTGGTGTTGGGTCCTCGTTTTGAAGAGTTCCTTCCTTCTCGCTGCCCCCTACCCTTCCTCCCTCCTCCCATCCCTTCCCTCTGCTCTCGGCATGCCCATCCCGCTCTGGCACACCCCTCACACGGTTTGTGGCCCTATAGGGAGCTCCACCGAAGGCCCCAGTGGGAGCGTCCGCATGGCAACGCCTCATTTTGGCACACCCTTCACACGGTTCGTGGCCCCATGGGGAGTTCCACCGAAAGCCCCAGCGGGAACGTCCGCATGGCATTGCCGCTCCGTTTTGGCAGACCCCTGAAACGGTTATTGGCCCCATGGGGAGTTCCACCGATGGCCCAAGCGGGAGCGTCCGTAAGGCACCGCCGCCCCATTTTGGCACACCCCTCACACGGTTCGTGGCCCCATAAGGAGCTCAACCGAAGGCCCCAGCGGGAGCGTCCGCATGGCACCGCCGCCTCATTTTGGCACGCCCTTCACACTGGCCGTGGCCTCACAAGGAGCCTCGTTGAAGGCCCAGCGGAAGCGTCCGCATGCCACCGCCGCCCCATTGTGGCACACCCCTCACACGGTTCGTGGCCTCATAAGGAGCTCAACCGAAGGCCCCAGCGTGTTCATTTTGGCACACCCGTCACGCGGTTCGTGGCCCCATAAGAAGTTCCACCGATGGCCTTGGCGGGAACGTCCGCATGGCACCGCCGCCCCATTTCGGCACACCCGTCACACGGTCCGTGGCCCCATGGGGAGTTCCACCGAAGGCCCCAGCGGGACAGTCCGCATGGCACCGCCGCTCCATTTTGGCACGCCCCTCACACGGGTCGTGGCCCCCATAGGGAGCTCCACCGAAGGCCTGAGTGGGGGCGTCCGCATGGCACCGCTGCCCCATGTCGGCGCACCCCTCCCACGGTTCGTCGCTCCAGGAGGAACTCCACCGAAGGCCCCAGCGAGAGCGTCCGCATGGCACGGGCCGCGCACGGGGCTCGGGCGAAACCAAGAAGACTCCCCGCTCGCCCGTGTTACGCCGCAGTCTTTTTTGTTGCCCCCCCTCCTTCGTCTCATCTCCCTCCCAGTACTCGCAGCAGCAAATGGTTGGGTTCTTCGCCAGGCTAATTCCCAACCAACTGTGGTGGTGGGTCCTCGTTTTGACAAGACGGTCCCCGCGTTTTCTTTCCTTCCTTACTCTTCCCCCCCTCCTCCCTCCTCCCGTCCCCCACACCCCCCTCACATCTTTCGTGTCCCCATAGGGAGCTGAGCACCGAACCGCCGCAAAGAGCAATTTTGAGCACCGAAAGCAACAAATTTGAGCACCGAAACGCCGCAAACGGCACATTTGAGCACCGAAACGCCGCAAACGGTACATTTGAGCACCGAAACGCCGCAAACAGCACCTTTGAGCACCGAAACGCCGCAAACAGCAAATTTGAGCACCGAAACACAGCAAACGGCACATTTGAGCACCGAAACGCCGCAAACGGCACATTTGAGCACGGAAACGCCGCAAACAGCAAATTTGAGCACCGAAACGCCGCAAACAGTATTGAGCACCGAAACGTTGCAGACGGCACCTTTGAGCACCGAAACGCCGCAAACAGCACCTTTGAGCACCGAAACGCCGCAAACAGCAAATTTGAGCACCGAAACGTCTGCAGCTCGAGTTAAGTCAGGAAAACCGACAGCACCTGCCAAAATGACACTCAACAGCCGATCCCGCCTGAGTGCTTTTTGATAGTCATAGGTACCCGATCGACCTGAGATTAACATGGCGAGCGGGAATTCACCGCCTTGCTCGTAGGGAAGCTCTACGAGGCTTCGCCGCTTCGCTCTTATGGAAGCTCTACGAGGCACTCGCCCCCCAGCGCGCCGGAAGATCTTGGACAGCGCTATCAAGCACAGGCGCGTGACATAGTCGTGCCTCCTGAGGGCCTTTTGGCGACCTCCTGGGTCTTCGTGGGGGCATCTGAAGGGCTTCTGGGGGGTTCCCCGTGCTTCCTCAATTAGCTAGCTGTTGGAAACACCTCTCAGGTGCTTCTTGGGGGGGCGTTTTGGAGCTTCTTAGGATCCCTTGGGAGCATCGTCGGGATTCTCTGGGCAGTCTGAAAGTGATGTTCTGCAATCTGAAGCCGTCATTGGCCGTCTTGGCTGCGTAGGGGCCCGACTTGAGGGCGCCTGGGGCCACGCTGAGGCAATCTGGAAACGTCCTGGGGGCCTCCTGCAGACAATTTTGATGCGTCGAGGGCGCCGTTGCGCAATCTTGGAGCCCCTTGTACGTCTCCTTGGGGCTTTTGGGGGCCATGGTTCTAGTGTCCGTTCCAGGTTCCTCTATCGAGAGTTCGCCTGCGATGGAGAAGCATGGCGGGCAGAGGGGATACGTGCGCACCCTGGGGCGCAGACAGCTTGGCATCATTTCGAGTCCCAGTGCGCATATCGGCGGCAGGCAGAGAAGGGGCATGCCCAAAGGCGAATAATACAAGGAGAGCCGTTTCTGGCGTTCACATCGTCATCCTCCCTTGGCGGGCGTTGCCGATGTCGCGTGCGCTGCCACGCAGCAGAGTACGAAAGCCAGCTCACCAGCACTGCTGGCTAGTCAGTCTCGTCTGTCATCCTGCCCTCTCCCCTCTATCTCCCCTGAGCCAATGTCATTCCCCCCCTCACCGAGACTCCAGAACGATCCGATGCGTCCGAGGCATCTTCCAGAGCCGCCAGATCCCAGAGATCCCGATGTCTCCTGGTCCGATGTTGCCCTGGTCTTGGACCTGCCCCTCCTGCTCCACCTTCCCATCCCTCTTCGGGGGAGGAGGCAGTAGGAGCAGGGGGAGGATCGGAGTGCGCCTGTACTGCACACATTATCCCGATCCTGAGCAGGCTCGCCTTGGGCCAAGGATCGCTGCACATGCCCTCCCGGCCAAGCCAGGAGAGCGTCTACACCAGGGCTGAACCTGAACGGTGTTTTTCGTTTTCGTTCGCTTTGTTTTCGTTTTCCCTCGTTTTGTCTTCAATCCACCTCTACCGCAAAACGAAGTCGAAACGAAAACGGCCCACGAAATCGCCAGAGCACCGTTTAGGTCCAGCCCTGGTCTGCACCGATCCTGGGCCCAGGATGGTCGTGGCCAGGATCGGCGCACGTGCATCGCACAGGCGCCCTCCGACTGTGGGCGGAGCAGCAGCGGAGGCAGGCAGTGCGCGCGGCCCCGGGAGGCCATGGTGAGCCTCCGCGGCGACGCGAAGGCTGGGCAGCTGCTGGACCCCCTCCCTCCCTCCCCTCCGCCCTGCCTCCCTCCTTCCCTCCCTGACTCCCTCCCTCCCTCCCTCCCTCCCTCCCTCCCTCACCCCATCCCTCCTCCCTCCCCCCCCCCCCCCGCGCGCGCTGGCCGGGGCCGGCGGGGGCCGCCAGCGGCGGCTTGGGCCCGGCAGTGCCAGGCGGGGGCGCGCCGGGCGGCTCAGAGCCACCACGCTGAAGGATGGAGCAGGTCGGGTTCTGCGCCGCGCGCGTCCCACGACTAGCAAGGTGCCTACTCGCAAACGTCCGAAAGCCATACGTCAGACTTTTGTATAGTTTATCGGAGGTCCTCCGCGGAGGATCCAGGCCATTCGCGAGTAGTCACATTGCGAACTCGCAAAGTGACTTCTACTTGTGCCCGGCAAGTCGTTCAACGCTTGCGCATGGCCCCCCCGTGCGTGACCGCAGTGCCCCTTCAGTTGGGACCTGGAACTTGTCCATGTTCTGCCCACTGTATCCCCAGTGTGTGCCTACAGCGTGCTCTTATCGGAGCAGCCCCATCAGTAGCGTGCAGCGGCCGCCGAATGATAATTCGATCACTTGTAATCCGTAAGGGCTTCGCCCCCTGCCGCCGGCCCCCTCTCTCGGAGAATGGGCCACGGAAGAGCTAAGTCACGAGGCCTTGGCGCTGTCGTGAAGCAGTATCGAAACTTCATGCGAAGCCGATTCGCAATCAGCAAAACCAACTGATCACAAGAGGGGTTACCACACCTGGCGATTGGTAAGACGTGTATGGTTTACGGGCTTGGTTACCACACCTTGCGATTAAAGGGTCGAGGGAGTTCTCGCAGTTTGGGTTACCACGCCTTGCGATGGATGAGCGCGAAGGGTGGCACCGAATTTCAGAAATGTAGCAAATCCCTTGTGTTTTTGGACCCTGACCCCGCGGATCTGCGTGAGGGGTGGCACCGAATTTCAGAAATGTGGCAAATCCCTTGTGTTTTTCCCAACCATCCTGTGGTGTTGGGTCCTCGTTTTGAAGAGACGGTGCCCCGCGTCTCCTTCCTCTCCTCCTCCGCCTCCTCTCCCCTCCTATCATCGTCATCATCATCATCATCATTATCATCATCATCATCATCATCATCATCATCATCATCGTCATGCGTCAAGCACACCCATTTTGGCACACCCCTCACACGTTTCGTGGCCCCATAGGGAACTCCACCTAAAGTCCAAGTGGCGCAGCTCGCATGGCGCCACCGCCCCATTTTGGCACACCCCTCACACGTTTCGTGGCCCCATAGGGAGCTCCACCTAAGGTCCAAGTGGCGCAGCTCGCATGGCGCCACCGCCCCATTTTGGCACACCCCTCGCACGTTTCGTGGCCCCATAGGGAACTCCATCTACGGTCCAAGTGGCGCAGCTCGCATGGCGCCACCGCTCCTTTTGGCACACCCCTCACACGTTTCGTGGCCCCATAGGGAGCTCCACCTAAGGTCCACGTGGCGCAGCTCGCATGGCGCCACCGCCCCTTTTTGGCACACCCCTCACACGTTTCGTGGCCCCATAGGGAGCTCCATTTACGGTCCAAGTGGCGCAGCTCGCATGGCGCCACCGCCCCATTTTGGCACACCCCTCACAGATTTCGTGGCCCCTCAGGGAGCTCCACCTGAGGTCCAAGTGGCGCAGCTCGCATGGCGCCACCGCCCCATTTTGGCACACCCCTCACACGTTTCGTGGCCCCATAGGGAGCTCCACCTAAGGTCCACGTGGCGCAGCTCGCATGGCGCCACCGCCCCTTTTTGGCACACCCCTCACACGTTTCGTGGCCCCATAGGGAGCTCCATTTACGGTCCAAGTGGCGCAGCTCGCATGGCGCCACCGCCCCATTTTGGCACACCCCTCACAGATTTCGTGGCCCCTCAGGGAGCTCCACCTGAGGTCCAAGTGGCGCAGCTCGCATGGCGCCACCGCCCCTTTTTGGCACACCCCTCACACGTTTCGTGGCCCCTCAGGGAGCTGCACCTAAGGTCCCTGAGGGAAAAGCCTCACGGGGGACCTCGCGGGCCCGCTGGTGTTCATCGAGCCCCGCACGTCGGAGCCGTTCACCTTCCGCACCTCCAAGGTCACGCGGACGGGCTTCCCGTTCTCGCACGGCAGGGTCATCACCACGGTGGCGTGCCAGGGGCGCACCATGCGCGAAGGCGACGGGGCGGGGGAACGGCGCTCCGGGGACGGCCAGACCTCCGGGGCGCGAGCAGTCCGCGGCCAGACCTCGGTCCTGTGGACTCTCGCCCTGGGCCGTCGGCTGCCCGGCGCACTGCTCCCTCGGCCGAGTCGCCCAGGTGTGATCCTGGACTGCGGCCGCCACGAGGTCGGGAACGGCAAGAAGGAGGACGACGACTGGTGGCTGGAGCTCTATGTGCTGCTCTCGCGCGCCACGCGCCGCGAGGACCTCCTGCTCATGCGGGCGCCGCGTGGCAGGACCGCCGGAGGGCCTGCGAAAGCAGCTGGGGCAGTTTGCAGCGCGCACGAAGCGGCGCAGGAGGGAGGCGACGGCCCTCGCCAGGGAGCTCGGCTTCACCGAGTTTATCCGCGAGGCCTGACCTGAGCAGCGCCCCCCCCGAGCCGCGCCTTCTCTCGACTGCCCGCATAATTGTTCGGCCTCGCGCCGCGGACGACCCGCGCGCGTCGCTGGGGCCCTCTCGGGGCGACCAGCGCGCGTCGCGGGGATTCCGCGCGGCGCTCTGCTCAGCGCCTCGCTCGCCCGTCGTCGCTCTGCCCGGCGGCCGGAGCCTTGCCCGCAATCAGCCTGCTGGCTAGCTTTCTGTGCCCCGCGCAGCGGACGACCTGCGCGCGTCGCTGGGACCCCTCCGCGGCGACCTGCGCGCGTCGCGGGGACTCCGCGCTGCTCTGCGCCCGCAGCTTTGGATTTTGGAGCGCGCAGGCAAAGAGGGGGGAAAAGAAGGGACGGAAGCGGGTGCGATCCCCGTGAGGGGCGTGCCGACATGGGCGTCGCGGCGCGCGGGCGCTGCCGTCGGGGTTCCCGCGGAAGCTGCCTGCGGCGGCCACGCCCAGTGTCACAAGTGTTCGGACAGGCATGCTCGAGCCATTCACATTCATATACATTTACACTAGGCGTAGCCAAGATCGCATTCATGCAAATATACTCACTCCCACGCAGACCCATTCACACTCAGACTCTCTCGCGCTCTGGCTCACCCGCGTTCATTCTTTCGTAATCTGACCTATCGTATTCCTTTGCGTTGTGTACCCCGCCATATTTCGGCATGCCCCTCATGCGGTTCGTGGCCCCACAGGGAGCGCCACCGAAGAAGGTACTCACAATTGCGGCATTCACAACTGCATATGGTTGGGTCTTTCGCCAGGATAATTGGACCCTGACCCCGCGGATCTGCGTGAGGGGTGGCACCGAATTTCAGAAATGTGGCATATCCCCTGTGTTTTTTGACCCTGACCCCGCGGATCTGCGTGAGGGGTGGCACCGAATTTCAGAAATGTGGCAAATCCCCTGTGTTTTTGGACCCTGACCCCGCGGATCTGCGTGAGGGGTGGCACCGAATTTCAGAAATGTGGCAAATCCCCAAATCTGCGACCCTGACCCCGCGGATCTGCGTGAGGGGTGGCACCGAATTTCAGGAATGTGGCAAATCCCATGTGTTTTTGGACCCTGACCCCGCGGATCTGCGTAAGGGGTGTCGATTTCGAGCCCCCCCAGCAATTCAGACAACGCGCCCAGGAGACGCTAAACATCCCGTTTGGGCCTCCCCCCCCCTCGCGCGGTCAATCAACTAGTTACAGTAACCAGCAAGAATCAGAATTGTAACACTGGAAACTACAAGCTACAACTGGTACAGGAAACTGCGAACCTCGCGCCTACAGCCTGGTGGCCCCACAAGGGGGCCGGCGGATTTAAGTTGGTAATCAAGGTCAATGCGGTAGTGGTAAAAGCACGCGCCTCCTGCACGCTCGCGCAAACTTGTTACGTACATATTGGTGCGCACGTCAGGCTTGGAGGCATACGCGCTTGCACCTTGCTAGTGCGTCGCACGCATCGCTTGCATCACGCACACACACACACACACACACGAGTTCGCCCCATGACGTGTGCACGAACATGCCGTAAAGCCAAGCCCCTCACATTCCAGAGGACATTCCGAGCAACTAGGCGAGCAGCGTTGACGTTGTAAGTAGCAGCCCCGTTGAATTTTCTCCAGCTTGGCAGAACTTGGCATGAGAGTTACAGCCGCAGGCAAGAACATTCACATTCTTGCGCCCGCACGAGTCTACAGACGCATACGCATGCGCAGATAGGCAGCTTCGCGCGTATATCTTCACGTGTGCGTTCGCACCGATTCGGATCATGAGTTCGGGTGAGCGGGGACGTGCCAATACATGCGGGGCAGGTTCATTCCGCAGTGCGTTTGTACGCGTGGTGCTACACGTTCCGATGCGCTACGACCTGTTGTAGCACTGCGGACTGACGTAGCACGCAGTTTCCACACCGCACTGGTGACAAGTAGAGCGTGGGTTTGATCATTTGCGTGCCGCATCGCGTGTAGATGTATGTGTATGTGTAGTCATTGTGGTGCCCATTCTTACCAGGACTTGAAGTTGATCTTGCATTCGCTGCGCCGCGAGACGGAGTTGCAGGAGTGCTGTCGCTTCAATCGGGGTGGGCCGCGATAATTCGTGATTCGCTGCATGAAGGAGCATCAGCAGAACACTGTGCTACACCGTTGTAAACACTGATCCCCACGAGAAGCATTGTACCGCCCACGGGCTTGGCCCTCGGGGTTGGCACCGTCCCTTCACCCCCGCGAGAGGGTGTGACGAGTCAGGAGGCAGTGGAGGTAGAGGCAGATGCGCAGACTGTAGAGGAGGGCGAGGAGACGTCCGAAGGGGAGGAGGCGGAGGAGCAGGAAGAGGGCGGCGGGGAGAACGACGAGGAGCAGGTGCACAGGGGGATGGGGGCGAGCACGGAGAACTGGAGGAGGAACGGGGGAAGTGAAGCACAGTCGAAGCGTGGCGATTGGTGGGGGGGCAACAGCGGCACCACCAGTGGCACCAGCAGCGGCAGCGGCAGCAGCGGCAGCTGCAGCAGCCGCCGTTCCTCCTCCCTCTCTCGTTCGTTTCCTCACGCCTGCTGCGCTCTTGGTCGAGCGGCGTGCGCATGACGCCGTGGTTGTCGCGCCCAGTCCATCTGGGTTCACCAACCCGGCACATGTTTGCACTCACGGGTGATTGTCCTCCAAGTGTTGTTGCAGTGTGCCTTGCGCCGCAGGCGATGCCAGCACAACGAAGCCGATACTAGTTAGAGTAGAGCAATTGGCAAGGAACTGTGTAGTGTTTCGTCCAGTGGTCGCACTCTGCGACTTGATGCGCCAATCGCATGCTCGCCTCTACACACGAACGTTCTTTATTTTGCAAGTGATGTTCTGCATGCCAACAGTGCTACTTTCGAAGATGTCAATTGCGAGTCACCGCCGCCCCTTGCCCATTTTGGAAACCCCAATGTGGCCAAACGCTAGGCTAACGTCCCGATCCGCTAACCGACCGTGTGCTCCCTCGGAGGAAGGCGTGGGGCAGAAGGAGGGCGATGATGCGATGAGGAGGAGGAGGAGGAGGAGACAGAAGACAATCAGGACGATGTGGAGGAAGATGATACTGCTAAGTGTTCTCTTGGTGGCCTCCTGGGGGCCTCTTGGAGGCTTCTTTGGTGCCCCTTGGGGATTCTTGGGGAGGTCTTGGGCAACGGTGGGAGGCTGCGAGCCACGGCTTCAAACACAGAAGCCGGGGGACATGGCACAGCCAAGGACGCGGCTGTTACGGTGTGTTCCGTCTTCGTTTGGAATTCAGTCATGGCCTTGAGACATGGGGCCTAGAGCGAGGAGTCCCTGAACAATATACAATTCCCACCCTCAATTCCTGGAAGTAAGTTCCTACCCTCAATTCGTGCACCATCCGGCGTCTGTTTGGGCTATTGGCCCGTCTGGCGCCTTCGGAGGCCGTCTTGGGTGCCTCTCTGGGCCGTCTTGGTGTCCTCCTGATCCCACGAGGCTCCCGAGGGATCCCCTGGGGGCTCCTCTTCCTGTGGCTAAGAGAGGGGAGGAGTATGGCGGCGTGGGCCTGGGGAGGCGTCAGCCCCCCCCGCCGAAGGGGCAGAAGGGGGTCGGAAGAGAGAGCTCGCCAGACCACCCATGTCCAGAGGGATAGTGGAATCAGGTGATGATGAAAGAAAGTAGGCGGAGAGGAGGACGAGGAGGAGGAGGAGGAGGAGGAGGAGGAGGAAGAGGACATTTAGGCGGAGGAGGAGGAGGAGGAAGTGGAGGAGGATGTGAGGGGGAGGAGGGGGAAGAGGGGGATGAGGACCATCGCACGGCTTCGGAAAGGGTGCGACCTCTTTTATGGGGACTCGACCGCTTCAGCCTCGGTTGTTTGGCTGGCAACCTGGGCAATCGAAAGAGGGGGCTTGCCGACTATATGGCTCTGCATAGAGGCCTCGGGGTGTCTTCCCAACTGGAGGCGCTCGTAGGCCCCTGTCGAACAGTTAGAAACACAACGCTTGGGGCAACTCGTGTGGAGGCCCTTCAAGATGCATTCGGAATGCTCGCCACACTGGGAACATGCAACAACGACACTCTCATCATCGATACGGTCGAACACAAAGATCTGGTGGCCGTTGGACTGCAGCGCCAGCTTGGCCAGGGTCGCAGCATTGCCAGGGCACAGCTCCTTGTCACGATTTTGCTTGGTTTGATCATTTAGACATCGCGAGTGGCGCAGGCAGCAGAGCCAACGGGGTTTCCGCCAGGTTCAGACATGCCCGACTCGGGCACGCACCAGCCGAGAAGGATGGGGCGGGGAAGGGGCCGCGGCAGCCCCAGGGCCCGAGGCAAACCCCCTCTAGTTGGCTCCACCCGGCCTCACCTTCGCGATTGACCTCGCACCTACTGCTGGGTTGGTTGCCTTGACAAGGGGCATCTAGCCCTTTCCCACTACTGGCTGGCGTGTGAGAGTTGTGGCAGGCTACCACACCTTTGAAATCATAATGGGTCCGAGTCGCTCTCCGAGGTTGGCTGGTGGCTAGGCACGCTCGAATTTCTGCTGCTGGCGAAGCGGGCGGAAGGGCTCTGCCTACTGCCCCACGAAGTACGCAGCCAGCCACCGCCCATTAAGATCATAGGCCGTCGTTGGCCACACTTCCATCACCATAAGCCTCGCCAACACAATCTTCGGCCAGCGAAAGGCCATCACGGGACCAAACCAACGCGTCGGCCAAACCTAAACCAGGCGGCCTCGGGACCCTAAACGGCGGCGATTCAGGAAAAAAACAGCACACGTGGCAAACGCTTGAGACTCTTTCAGGACTTCGGCGTCTCCTTCCTCCAGGTACCCCTCCGGAAGTACAGCACCATGTGGGCACCCAAGAAGCCTAAGGCCGATGTGGTCTTGGGGGGCTCCACATATACATGTCGTGCCCGTGTCATCTCCAGCATTATTCAGCCCTTCAGCCTGCACCTGGTCCAGACGGACTGGGTCAGGTACGACACTAGGAACCTGCGATCTTGCTTCGTCCGCTTTCTGTCTGTCACCGCTACTTTTAAGTGAGCGAGGTCAACCGGTTCGACTCCTATCTTGATGGCGGCCTGGTCGGCCAACTGCTCCCGCCACGCTGCTGTCAGCAATCGGCGAAGAAGGGCAGGCGAGGTGGTTGTGAGCGGGTAGGCCTCGCCATCCGTGCTGGTGAGCATCATCTGGCTGTTCCACATCCAGCCGACTTCGGGTGAACTGAAATACGCAGTCAAGGGGACCCCTGATGTGACCCCATCCTAGAGGAGGCTTATCGAGGGCACCAGCGGCAAAGCGTCTAAGTTCTGTGAGCCTGACTTCGGCTTTCGAAGGGTCCTGTGCAGCTCGGGACGCGGTCTTACTCCAATAGATACACGGTCCCAATGCCGATCTCCAAGTGGGGTCTCAGAGGACAGCAAGCGAATGAGCTCTTGGACGAGTACCTCATTTTGGCCCCGCCACCTTCAGGGACATACTTTACCGAATCTCTCTGTTCAAAGTATGCAGCTTGCTGGAGACCAGTGTCCCAAATCTTCTTGGTGCCTGTTCCTGCGGACCGCAAAGCTCTCGATCGGCGAAGACGCAGCCGCAACTTCGCTGCACGACCTCTGAGAGCTGTGCTGCATTCACTCCTTAGTCATTTTGGTGGTAGCGGGGTCAGCTAGGCTGGTCTCAGGCCAAGCCCACTGTCCCAACTTGGCCGACAGACTGGCATTGATCATCGGCGTGGGAGTCACAATGGCAGCTTGGTGTTTGGCGATGTCGCATTTCAGACCAGCGACGATCGATTCATGCATAGCAAGATCAGCTATCAATGAAGTAGGCTTGCTGTTGTGGCCGACCAACGTGAAAGCGTCTATGAAAATGGTCGGCTGCGCCCTGGGATTCCGGGTATCCCAGTTGTCTATGGGCAGCGAACAATACCTATGAACAACGAAGTCAGCAGCCCAGCAATTTTCAGCGATACCTCTGCGAGGGCAACTTGCAGGAAGGGCTCATGCGCGGGTGACTACATTGCTGGCCGCCTGGCGCTGGTTGCAAATCATATCGGCGAGCGAGTCCGAAGAAATTGTCTCCTAAGCCCTACCCCTCCAGAGCTGACGATCGATACGCTCGCAATAGTTCGACGGGCCACACAGGGCCGCGGCCGAGAACATGTTCTTGATACGCAATACATGCTGGTCAGCTAGCATGGCCTGCTCGAACACGATTCTACGTCCACTTCCCCAGATTGGCGCGCAAGCTATCTACAAGGATGAGCTCGTTCCCAGTCCCTGAAGTCCAGCTGCCGATGTTTGCCCCAGGCTCTCCAAAGACCGGGCCTCATGCCAATTGCCTTGTAGCTTGGACCTGGGTTGTGGCCTGGGTGGTGTTTCTCAATGAGGACCGTGCCGATCGCTCTGGTTTGGGTCGAGAACGCTCCAACTTTTTCGATGGCCCTGAGCAGCCTACACACAATGTCCAGATGGGCATCTTCCAGAAAGCTGAGGCGCCTGGGGTGGGGCCCGTCCCAGGTCCTAGCGGTGGCGCTACTGGAGCTTCGGCGGGCTGCTCGAAGCTGATCTCGCGAAGCATCTGCGAGGTCTTCACCTCGCGGCTGCGCTTGCAGAGGATCGGGCTCGGCAGGGCCTGGAGGCCATCAGCAACCTGAGCGAGTTTGTTCGGCCCTTCAGCATGCAACGGAAAGAGCGAGGCACGAGTGATGACGTTCTGGCGGGGCGAAGCTTTCCAGGGTGGGGGGGCCCTGGGGAGGGGCGGCGCGCGCGGTTGTTAATGGCCGCTAGGGGGCCGTTACCTTCGTGCTTTTTCTAGTGAAGCGGCTGGCGGGCGCCTTCCACGGCCCGCGCCCTCGCGTTGTTTTTCGAGCGAAGCGGCTCAAGGGCCCCAAGACGGCCCAAGAGGGCGCCAAAACTACCCAAAGGCGGCCCCAAGAGAGCTACGGACGGCTCCCAGGTGGTCCGAGAGAGCCTCGAGGCGGTTCCAGAGACCCTCCAGGGGGCATCCGAGAGGGCTTCATGAGCCCAAAAATATTGATTTCCAATGGTGTGTCGGGTTCTCGCCTTCCCGGGCGCAGATGGGCCCAACACGGCCCATGAGGCCCCAAAGCTTGTCGCAAGACGGCCCCAGAGGCCCCCCAAAGATGCGGAAAATTGTCCAAGAGGGCCCCTGGACGGCCCCAGAGGGGCCCACAACTGCCCAAAAGGGCCCCAAGACGGCCCAAGAGGGCCCCAAGAGGGCCGAAAGAGGCTCCCAAGAGGGCCCGCCAAAGGCCTCCAAGACGCCCCAAGGCGGCCCAAAAGGGCCCCAAGACGGCCCAACATTGCCCCAAAAAGGCCCCCAAAAGGGCCCCCAGAAGACCCCGACGAAGCCCGCGAGACGCTCAAGAACACCATGGGCCCCATCAGCGAGCGGCGACGTAACAAGCTCTTGACGCCAAGGCTCCCCAGAGCGCGGTGATGTACAAAGCTCGTCACACCAGTGCCCCCAAGAGCGAGCCGCAACGCGCGCATCTCCGAACGCCAAGGCGCCCGAGAGCGAGCGGCGACGCAACAAGCTCTTACCACCAAGGCTCCCAGGAGCGAAGGGTGCCGTGAGCCTTCTCGTGCAAGTTCCTGAGGCGCTCTTTCCGCTTCCGTGCCGGCCCAGATCTAACGAGCGGCCTCATCAGCGTGGTTTGGCGGAGTTCTAGACACGAGCCGGTTGCCACGAAGTGAGACGATTACTCCACCGATGGGCCCATCCGACCCCTTTCCCCATATTCTCCTTGACCCAAAGTTTCCAGGACTGTCGATCATCGGACCAATGTTTCGCGATCTCACAGTCGAGGGCCTAGAGTCGAGGTCTTCGAACATTTCCGCGATGGACTCAAAATCTGGCCCCATGCTCGTGGCATCCATGAAGGTAGCCTGCATTCAAGTTCTGACGCTGTTACGCAAAGCTTCATATTCGGCAGGCAGCAACTTTCAAATTGCTTGATTCATTTGCTAGTTCGAGGTGGACCTGCTCAAGCTCCTCCAAGTCCTGCCCCTCCATTCCCCGTCGTATGCCGATGACTCTAGTGCGTGGCCACCTGGATGCTGCCGCTGCATTCCTCTCACTCCTCCTGTCCTTGGCCTCTGCAGCCTCGGCTGGGATCCACCTCGTAATTGGAGCCTGGGCACATTGGCCCGAACTCCGCAGTGGCGCGTCGGTAATAATGCTGAGCGTCGTGGGCACACCGCCCGCAAATAGCCGCACGTGGCGTCCACGGCGGCAACTAAGGCTTGCAACGAGACTTGTTGCACTGGCCCGAGGTCGGTATCATCCTCGAAGATGCCAGATTTATCAGGATCCTCCAGGAGGGATTCCAGCAGCCCCAGAGCCCCCGAACTCCTGGACCAGGGAGGGCTTCTGTTTCTTGGGCCCGCTGGGGGCTGGACAGACAGGTGTTGAGGTTGTTTCAGAACAGGGGTTAGATATGGGGCCCCAATCACCATGCCCGTCAGAATTGGCCCGCGTGGGCTAGTTAGGTAGTCAACCAAAAATGCGGGCTGCTCCAAGTAGTGCTCGAAGCAGTGCGACCCCTGGACGTAGTCTATGGTAGACTTAGATCTCTTCGTGTAGGGAGTGTGTTTTTCCGGCGCGGTCACCTGGACCCCAGCCTTAATCGGGGAGTCCGTTTTTATCAGGTTACATTTTAATATCGCTTGCCATAGTCAGCGGCAGGGCATTGTCGGAAGGCATATTGCACCGCGCTGGCAAGGGCTGTCAGGTTCTCTTCATTCAAACCCATAGAGTCGGCCAGGTAAATCGAACCTAGGCAGAAGGGCTGATGTCGTAGACCTTTTGCCTGACAACGTATGCCCGCGACTTTGAAAATTCTCTGGAAGTGGCTACTTGGTAATCCCAATATCTAGGCCATTACGTTCTAGTACTCCATTGCATTTGCATGGAAGCTCCTTGGTTCTCAAAACAGCTGGAGTCAAAATTGCCAGACATTCCCCATTAGCACACCAATCTATTTCTTTGGCAAGACCATGAGCTAGAATACGGGGTTCTTGGTAGCATGCGACCTGGACGGATGTTGCCCCAGGAGAAGCCAGGAAATTGCGAATACCAGACCAACTGCTACAAATGAAAGTGCACATCGTGAGAGCTTTACCCACGGTGGTTCTCACCTGATGCTGCCGCTGCACCAGCATCGCCAGGTTTGGGGACCCTGGCCTGGCGCTTGGAGAACCGCTCCTGCGCCTGGGCGGCCTCGTCGCTGAGGCCCTGGATGTCGGAACTGCTGGCGAGCACCATGTTCTCTTCCAGGACGTGGGCTTTCCTGACGGTGCCGCGGTCGCTGCCCACGGGCATGTCCAGGGTCTCGCCTGACTGGTCCTGTGGCACTGCAATTGCAACAGCATCCGCTCCTGCTTGACTTGCTGCGGGCACCACAGGCGCCACCGGCGCAGCGTCAGCTGCAGGGAGGGGCTGCAGCTCGAGTTGTTGCTGCAACTGCTTCCACTCCTCGTTGAGCTTCGCATTGACACTCTCGAGCTCCTGCTTGATGCTGGACGGCAAGCCATTCGGGAACCTGGCATCCACGATATTGAGTAGGGTGGCGGTCTCTGCTGAGCCGTTGAGACTGGCTGCCGCCTCTGCCATCGCAGCCTTGGCCGCCGCGCTGCGCTGGGCGTCCAGCTGCTGAACCTCAGACTGTAGTTCGAAATGCGACTCCACCGACTTGTCGTGCACCTCCACCGCCTTGTCAAGGTTGATGATATTATTCTCGACTTCGCTCTTCTTGGACTCAGCCGTCTGCGCTGCTGTTGGAGTTGATCAGCAGAGGACTGTGTCTCTGTATCCAAGGACTTGCCCTCGAGGGCTCTCGACTTGGCAAGGCAGTGGTCTTCGCAGGCCTGGATGTACTTCTTACCTTCCTGTCCGACCGTTTTCTTCCAGGAATTAACCGCTTGGATACGGATGGAGACGTCGTCCTTGGCTGGGTCGGGGACCTCCTGTGCGGCGGACGACTTGGAACTATCCTCTGTAGGTGGGACCTCGTTGCCTTTGGTGCGGCTGCGGGTCCAACGATTGGGTTTGTCCTGCTGCTTCTGCGGGCTGCCGCTGCCATCAGATCCACCTGTGCGTTCAGCGCTGGCGCGTGAATGGGAGGGACGAGGCTGCTAAAAAAACTTCCACAATCTGAGCAATGCTTGTGACCACCTTGTCCTTGCCAGGTCCATCCCCAGCAACCTGGCTTCTGACAGCACTGCCACTGTTTGTGGCCTCCCATGGCGACTGGGGGACTGACTGGCCATTTGTTGCGGCGACCACCAAGGAAAGAAAGTGATTGAGAGCGATCGCGAAAAACCTGGCCGAGGCAGCCAGGCTTGAGGAAGGTGCTGCCCTTACACCTCGGCCTCGGGCCTCTGGAATCGGGACAGGAGGTAAGCTCCGTCTTGAGCCAAAATGGTACGGACGGACGGAGGAGGAGGAGAACGGGGAGGAGGGACGAGCCAGCGGCACCAGGATGAGGCTGGAGCCGAGGGCGCGGAGGGGGTGGACCGGCCTTGGAGGGCAGGCGCGGGCGCACCGTGTCGGCCTCCCCCCCGCCCGGCGAGCAGGCCGATGTGGCCAGGAAGGACGCCGACCGCAACCAGGACCCCTGCGCCCTGGGAGAGGGTCAGGGGCGGCCTGACATGCCCCCAGCACACCATCCCGTCCGTCACGTCCCCCCTGGCCTCGCCGCAAGACGCGTTGTATGCGGCCGGAGGGGAGCCGGAAAGGCGAGGGTGACGTCACGGAAGGGGATGGTCTGCTAGGGGTCGGTGGGGCCGCGCCCGAGGCGGGGGAGGAGGAGGACGCTCCGCCACCTCTCCGTCTCCGCCTCCCCCTGCCCTCGGGGAAGAAACAATGGGCGCAAGGAGGAGTTGTCAGAGGTCCGCGCGGATTCCTTGGATCGGCGCTGGAGTCTCTCGCGGCGCCTCCGGCGCCGCCCCTGAGCGTTAGGGAGGGCTGTCCAGGGCCGATCCAATTCATCCACGCGGACCTCCGAAAGCTCACGTTTACACATTTTTGTCGACGCCCCCCGCCCCCCCTCCTATCCCAACCCGTCCCGTCCTCCATTCGTCGTTGGCACGTCCCGCAGTGAGCGCTTTGGTGTGAGAGCGAATCCGAGCGGACGACGGGTACGACGACGACGACGACGACGACGACGACGACGACGACGACGACGACGGCGGCGGCGGCGGCGGCGGCGGCGGAGGCGGCGACGACGGCGGCGACGACGGTGGAGGCGGCGGCGGCGGCTATGATGAGGGACAACGCCGACCACGACGACAGCAACTCGCAGACAGAGTGGCAGTGAGCAGGCCGTTCCCCTCTCCTTCCTCGTCTTCCTCGTCGCACTCCGTCATTGATCTTGCTCCTGCCTCTCTTCCGCCTCCTGCGCCGCCTCGTTCCTCCGCCGTGCTCCCTCATCCTCCCTGGAGGCCGTCCTTATCCCTCCTCGTGCGTCCTCCTTCCTTCGTCCTCCTTCCTCCGCCGTCCTCCCTCCTCCCTTCTCCCTTGCACGTGCCCCCCCCTTGGTGGCCCCCTCCCCTCTCCTTCCTCTTCCTACTCGCCGAAGCCCCTCCCTCCTCTTCCTCCCTACTCCCTTCTCCCTCCTCCTGTGTCCGCCTCTCTCCTCCGTGCCCTCTACTCCTCCGTGGCGGCCGTGCTTCTCCCTCCTCGTGCCGTCAACGGTGCCACATGCCGTGCCGTCGACGTCTCCAGGCGAGCGCCGGACAGCAATGATGCGCAGATTACTGAACGGTCAAGCAGTGGCGAAGCGTCCTGGCCTGCCTACAGGCCTACCAAACAATGTTCTAAGAACCTTTGTTGTCGTTACCAGGACATGTTTTTAGAACATTTCTGGCCGGGACTGTCTTGCTTTTACACATCGGGTTTATGTTATAAGAGCATTTTCTGGGGGTTCTATACACTTCCTTTTCTACTTCTTCTATTACTGCTACTCCTACGACTACCCCCTCCCGAGGAGCGCCAAAGTATCCCGAGACCCTCCGAGGAAAACATCCCATCCCCACCGCCGTACTTACGAGCTTCCCGGGCGACATCTTTGTTATCCCCCCCGAGCCCCGATTTGTATTTTTTCCACCCTGTGATTATCAGGGGCATTCGATTATAAGCGGCGGAACCAGACGGGCGGGTCGGGCGGGCCGGGTCTAACAGGCAGGTCGGGCGGGCAGGCCCAGACTGCCTGTTCGAGCGGGCGGGTCGCAGAAGCGTTAATCCAGCCTGAATCGCAAGGAGCGGGCGAAAGCGCGATTCCCAAGCAAAACGTGCGGAAATAAAAAGCGACAGCGTGCTTCCTGACTCTAGGGGGCACGGCTCGGCATTTCACTGCGAGGATGTACCACGCGAGGGCGCGATTTCTGCATATATTGCGAGGAAGGACCATGCGAGCGCGCGATTTCTACGTACATTGTGTGGAAGGTCTGCGAGAGAGCGCGATTGTGAAATGAACGGTGGGGAATCCGCACCGTGGAACCTCACTTATGCCACGAACCCAGGGACAGTGAATGACGTTCGGCCCCCTCACTCTGACGTCGGCGAGATCGATCCTATTCCGTATCGATTTCCCTGCGGTCTGAAGCGGCCCGATGCCTTATATGGCGGTGTTGTGCATCCTGGCGCGGCCGATCCGATTCGATTTCAACCCCGTGCTGGTACAGCTCGATCCGATGCACGTTTCAGTTAGATCCGAGTTACCGAATCGGTGCTGACTGATCTTGTCCTCGGGCTTCCGCCAGGCGGGGCCGCATTCGCTTTGCTTCTGCCGACCCTCCGCCGACCAGGCGAGCGGTCCGCCCGACATCTCTCGAGGGCGCGGCGCTTCATCGTGGAACGCCGAGCGAAATGTCCCTCGCGAGGTCGAGGCCCCCCGTCTTCGAGGCCCCTCGAGGGAAAGGCACCTCGACGGCCCTCCAGGGCGAGGCCCCCCGCCCCACTGGCAGGGAGTGATCGCCGCGGTCCTGTCGGAGCAGCAGCGCAAGACCGACGAGCTGTGCTTCGCGGCGGGCCGGCGGCGAAACACCAAAAGGGGTCCCTGGGGGTCGGCGGGCGTCGGGGAAGCCGCCCCACTTGCCCTGTGCGAGTTTGCTGCCCCGGCAGGGCGCGGGCGGAGGAGAAGGAGGAAAAGGAGGAGAAAGATTAGGAGGAAAAGGAAAAGGAAAAAGAAAAGGAATGAGAAAAGGATCAGGAAGAAAAGGAACAGGAGAAAAAGGAGGAAAACAAGGGGAGGAAAACTAGGAAGAGGAGGACGAGGAACAGGAGGAGGAGGAGGAGGAGGAACAGGAACAGGAGGATCACGAACAAGAAGGAGGATTCCGAGCACATAAAATTTTACAACCGCAACGACTCCCGCCGGAGCGCATACGTCACACACACACACACACACCGACAGAAGAGCACGATGAACAAACACGTGAATACCTGGAAGGTTCGCAGCACGCTATCGGATACATTTGGTTATGGCACGCTTGGCCCTCCAAATTCACCCTGCCGGTGTTCAAGTTGTTGCTCCTTGTAAGGTTGACCAACACGGTCTCTAAATGATGGCACAGCTGGCAAAATGCGAACCATCATGGCGATGTGCAAATTCGGCCACGCGTTATTCAAACATTTGTTGTTAGCGACACCGGCACGGCAGGAACAACATTGGGGCGCATGGTAGTCTTCGGCAACGCCAGCATGATAGTTCTGGTTCAGACGACCGCCAGCTGGCGTTGGCTGCGGGCCAGGTACAGTCACGTCACGCGCTTCCACCATGCCACGGATAGTGTTTATTCGATCGACAAGCCCGACCTATTAGACTCAGTGGCAGAGCTTGTACAATCGGCAGACGTGGATTTTGCGCGGGGACGGATTATTCCAGTTTTCTTTGTCAGGGTGCACTTCGAAAGTATCTCAGAATGGGCAGCGGTTGCTTGCCAGGAGGTACATGGGTGGTGGACGTGAATGCAGCTACCCACGCTCGCACTTTAGAGAAAGCTCGTGATGCACATCTTGTGCATAGTACCAGTCATCTGCTGGCAGTGGCCTCTCCGATTTCCGATGATGAAACTGAGCTTCAAGCCGCAGGTTTCGCAGACGATCTGGCTGGACAACCTTTGGCTTTGGCTTTTAAACACAAATGGCCACACGGAAAAGAGTTGCCCAGAATAAGATGACCGACTCAGATCCCAACAGCGTCGGCACTCTCCAGAAGATCGGCAAGCAGGTCAACGCGTATTTCGGCGTCGGCAAAAGACAGTCACAACGACGCCAGTCACATACATAGCGGCAGCGTGCTTCAGGGCGGAATGGCGACACTGGCGACGCATGTTGGCCCCAAGCCAACGAGCACGTTCACCATGACGGCAGGTATCGAGCACCGAATCATTGCGGTGGAGAGGGCGCGGGCTCAATTTCGGAAGTTTTGGACCCCCGACACCCCTTACCGACTGCGTCTCAACATTTTCAGATGTCAGGCGCTGAGAATTGCATTGAGCGGACGCGAGGTCTGGACCAGGAAAAACATCCCGCTCCAGAAGAATGGTTTTGCTGACGCCGAGAGCAAGGTGGTGAAGTAATTCTGCTCGGGTCCTCCTTACCGGTACTGCCTTCCTTTGCGACTGCCATGTTCGACAAATTCCTAACGTGCACGTACTTCGTCGCCTGCAAGTGACTCCTATCTTCGTGAATTTAAGATTCGCTGCGCCGCGTCAAGTAGATGCTGCAGATGGCGCGGTCGCCCGGGGCGTCCGCGCAGCCACTCGCAGCGATGTTCGGTTGGTGTTTTAGCAAAGAAATGCTCTCGTACGGCCTCCTCGCTGAATCCAGGGGGAATCCGCGGGCCCCCCAGGTCGTAGCGGACTTTGGGCGCCCTTCGAGTCAGCGGCCACTGGCGCGGAAGACTGGGCGATGTGGAAGGCAACCCCGCGGAGCCCATTCGGCGCGAGACGTTCCCCGGGCTGGGCCCCGCAGCATTGCGAGCGCATTCTCGTTCGCGCAGCGAGAACTACAAGGAGGGGGCGAAGAGGGTCAACGACAGGGGGGGGGGGGGGGCTACATGAACCCTGCACTAGGGGGCTGATGGAGCGGCGCGAGGGGCGGCGTTCGCCACGCAGAACGCCCCCAGAACACATCGCACGCGCAACGCTGCAGGCGCACATGGAGTTCGACGCGCAGCGCGGCCCACGGCGGTAGATGACCTGCGCATCGCGCGCAGCACAATGTTCAACACCGAAGCTACAGCCATTCATCATACGCGAACCGTCGCCATAAACGCGCATTGCATTTTTGACAGGGCTCGCTCGGGCATGGAAATCCATGGACCCGCGGCGACGCGCGTCTGATCTGCGATGCGCCCGCAGATTCGACGGAGCTGTTTCGCTGGCATTCTCATGGCCGAGCATCCCGCCGTCCTGCTACCGATGCGCAATATTACTCTTCCAGAAGCTGCCGGGCAACGACAACTATCCAGGCGAAGGGCCCAACCGCATGCAGTTATCAATCACGCGTCGCGGGCGCCGCTTTCGGTGGAGCTTCCTATAGGGCCACGAAACTCGCGAGGGACGTGCCGCAATGCGTGGGGGGGGGCGCATGCGAGCGGCGCCGCTGGGACCTTCGGTGGGGCTCCCTACGGGCCACGAGACGCTGCGCTGGGCTGTGCTGGGCGTGGTGTGTTGGGCGGTGGTTGACGCGCGCGGGCGGCGCCTTCGATGGGGCCCCTAAGGGGCCGCGAAGCGGTGTATTGGGCGGGCGAAACGCAGGGAGGAAGCGCTGTGGTGGGCGGTGGTTCACGCATGCGGGCGGCCCCACTGGGACCTTCAGTGGAGCTTCCAATGGGGCCACGGAGCGCTTTGCTGGGTGGGTGAATCGCAGTGGGGAGGGGAGGGGGGATGGGGGGGGGAAGGACAACGCGGGGACCGTCTCTTCAATGCGACGACCCAACACCGCAGGATGTCTGGGAAAATCAGTAGCGGGCGGCCGCGAGGACGAAGCCCCCAGCCAGGAGCAGCTCAAGGACAGCGAGACGGAAACCCCAGACTACGAATTCCAACGGCATCTAGAGAGCCGAGCTCGAACGCTGAAGTTCCGAGCAACAAGTCAGAGAGATTCTTCCCCAGCGACGCTCCGATCATCGTGGACTCAGTCGGCCTCGAGAAGCAACGCGACTCGAAGGTCGACGGGGTCGGGGGCGGCCGCGACCTGGGCAGTTCGAGTTTGGATCTACACGGCAGTGTTCAGACAGATATCGAGAGCCACTTCGTCCGGGGCGCCTCCTGGGCGACCGGCCCCTCGCGGCGATGCTCAATTGTCGCGTCGAGGCGCGCGCCGGCCCGGTTATGATAGAGGAGCGGCGCAAGGTCTGCGGCACCAGCAAAGCGAGCGACGGCAAGAAAACGCGAGCGACGCTCGACCTTCGCGGCCGGGCGGCGGTCGGCGAGGGCGCGGGCGAGGCGACAGAGCTTTCCAAGATGGCGAGGGGGGCGAAGGATCTCGGCGACGTTCATGCACGCCCCCTCGAGGTCGAGCCCCCCCGCCGGACAATTGCAATCTCGCGGCCCCGAACCATTCCTTCAGTTGCGTCCTCCGCGGCATGGGGGCCGAGGGCAAGCAGGGCCGCCCTGCGGAGCAACTTGGTCAGGCAGGCGGGCAAGAAGTAGCAGCAGCCCGCGTGAGCTCGCCCGCGGGGCGCGCGGCGAGCGCTCACGCCCTCGATGAATTCGAGGCAAAAGAGGAAGCGGTCCAGTTTTTTGTTCGCGCAATGCCTTAGGATCTTCCATGGTTGCAAGGGCCCTTTTGGCCGCGGGGAAAAATACGCCCGTTTCCTCTCCGGAAGCAACTCGAAAGGTTGTGGCGAGATGCGCGTGGCTTCCACGTGGACCAGGCGACCAGGTTAGCTTAGCAGACATAGTGTTTCTAGCTGGGTGCCGAGTTGGTCTTCTCAGCTAATAGTAATAATAAGAATAAAAATCATCCGTATCAGTATCATCCGCATCGCCGTCACCGTTGCCGTCATCATCAACACCGTCACCTCAATCGCCATCACCACTACCAAGATTATCCGTTCTATCATCATAACAATAACTCTATGCATACGACGAACAACAAGGAGCATAATAAAGGGATGAGAAGGAAGAGGGTGTGTTCAGGATTATGACGATGATGGTGATGCTGCTGATGTTGCTGATGATGATGAGGATGATGAGGATGATGACGATGATGATGATGATGATGATGATGATGCGGATGATGATGATGATGGTGATGATGATGATGACGATGATGATGATGATGATGAAGGGGGAGGAGGAAGAGGAGGAGGAGGAGGAGGAGGAGGAGGAGGAGGAGGAGGAGGTATAGGCATTTTGACGAGGAAGAGGAGGAAGGGGAGGAAGAGGAGGAAGAGGAGGAGGACGAGGAGGAGGAGGAGGAGGAGGATCTGGCACAAGGAGCGGCCTGCTGCCTGGGCCGGCTGCCCCAGCCGGCTGCCTTGGCTGTTTCCCTTGCCCGTCGGCGCGCCGCGGCGAAGGCCGGGGCAAATTTTTGACCGCGGCCGAAGGACTGGCGAAGGACCTGTTGACCGCGCTTCTGACCGACGGGGGGGGGGGCCGCCAGCAGCCGCCGCCGCCGCAGCGGCGTTCCGAGTGGCGCTGCGGTCGTGGGGCGACAAGCTTCGAGAACAGGGCCGTTCGCCGCCGCTGCGGCGGGGGAGGCGCGGGAGCGGCAGCGAATTGCCGGCCACCTTGGGGGCCCATGGCGGGCCCCAAGGGCAGCCCCGCCGCTTGGCCGCCCCTGCCGCGCGCCCGTGGCGCCCGCTTCGGGGCCCAGGCGAAAGTTGTTCAGCCGGGCCGTCGAATCACTCTTGTCGGAGGAGCGCGCCGCTCGGCAGCGGCAGGACGCGCAACGGTCGGTCAACCGCCTCAGCAACCTGAGGGCGGCGACGGGGCGGCCAGCGGCCGCGGAGAGCGGCGGAGGACGCGCTCGAGGCGGCGAGGCGTTCGTTGGTCCTTGGAGGACGCGCGCG